TCCATCTCCTTTCCTCTTCCTCCATCCCCTTCCTTTTCATCTCCTCTCCTCTTCCTCCATACCCTTACCCTCCATCTCCTCTCCTCTTCCTCCATCCCCTTCCCCTTCATCTCCTTTCCTCTTCCTCCATCCCCTTCCTTTCCATCTCCTTTCCTCTTCCTCCATCCCCTTACCCTCCATCTCATCTCCTCTTCCGCCATCCCCTTACCCTCCATCTCCTCTCTTCTTCCTCCATCCCCTTCCCCTCCATCTCATCTCCTCTTCCTCCATCCCCTTACCCTCCATCTCCTCTCTTCTTCCTCCATCCCCTTCCCCTCCATCTCCTTTCCTCTTCCTCCATCCCCTTCCTTTCCATCTCCCTTTCCTCTTCCTCCATCCCCTTACCCTCCATCTCCTCTCCTCTTCCTCCATCCCCTTTCTTTCCATCTTCTCTCCTCCTCCTCCAACCCCTTCCTCTCCATCTCCTCTCCTCTTCCTCCATAACCTTACCCTCCATCTCTTCTCCTCTTCCTCCATACCCTTCCACTTCCCCTTCCTGAAACCTTGGATTCTGAACTTGAAATACCACATGAACAAGCAAAGGAGAATCACTTTTGGTACTAAGATTGAGCCTAAACTATTAATAAATGATTGATTAATGTACAGAAATACAAAATGGCTAACACACCAATCTTGGATTTCTGAGCCAACTATTCAAGGGTGGACAACCTGTGTGTGTTTATTGTTCACTTATATAGTAACTGTATCTGACAGATATTACCAAGCCATCGCTGATAGTGACCAGCCATACAGCCATCGTCCATGCCGACCTTGACCTCCACTCATATGTGGCTATCCCTCTGCTGGGGGTGAGGTCCATTGCAGGACTTGATATCCATGTTGCTAAGAAAGAGATTTACTTCAGTGACTCTGCCCAGAAACGCATCTACAGAGTCAATATGGACGGATCAAATCTAACAGAGGTAGGAGCTTAAAATCTCAAACACAGGTCATGGTATAAGGTTGAAATCATTAGTTCAGGTCACTCCGTGAAATGTGTGGTTCAGAGGATTGAATTCAAATAGGTGATATTCTCCAATAGATAAAATCTATGAAGGAAGATGAAGTCTCGCTCCATTGACCGACTGGCATGAAACAACACAACACTAATAATATCTAATTTGCCCCAAGCTTGCCGAAGGACGTATGGCAGTGGGCATTTAATCAGTATATATGTGTGCAACATTTATACATAATCCATGAAATGCAATCAAAATAAATAGATACATATAAGCCCTCATAGATGTGTCGATAATTACGGCTTGCCATCATCTGATGTAAAAATATGTACGCCGGGACGCTGTCTGACGTTGACTGCCCGAAAAGACAATACAGAGTTACCTTGATCATCAAAATCAACCTGCACGCCCAGGAAAAAACGGAGATAGCCGCTGGAAACCTGTATCCAAAAGCGGGACAAGTGTTGTTTCCCTGCAAGTCCAATTTCTCTGAGGTGACAGTTGGACCACTGTCTACTTTTATTTGTTTACAGACCTACTGAACCGTCCTAAGAAAAAATCTATGCATGCCTAAGTCTAAGTACGTTCCGAGTAGGCGACTAGAAATGACCACGCTGACAACATCTATCACCCGTGTACCCGAGTACACGTGACAGCCTTCTGCAACTCGTGTCATATGAGACTAATAAAATCTATTACCTGTAACTGAGCGAGATCGGGTTATCTCAGTCAAGGGTTAAGATTCTGTAACAAAATCCCAACCGAGGCGTAAGCCGAGGTTGGGATGATACAGAATTTTAGCCTGAGATGATGATGACCTCTTCACTACTTAAGCTACGTTTGAATGCTTCCGCGTAAAAACTTAGTTCGTCCTTACATAGATTACAACATTTTTCACAGTGTGGATTATATTTTATCTACAACATCAAATATCTAACAACATCAAAACTATACAATAACGACAACACAGAACAGTTATAATGCAAATTGTCAATTTCAAGCAGTTAACGCGCGGATGAATACATCGTAGTGTAAAAATTTTGCGAAATGTCACATAAAGGTACAAGACAGATCGGACAAGATAGAAAAATCTAGCATGGAGTATGGCGTGGGATATCTCTGTCTGAGGTGCGAGAAAAATTATTCCCGCTTCTACTGCGAACCGCGGGAATATTTGTATCTGAATACAGGTCAAATGAGTGAAATGTCAAATTAAGATTAAATGGGTGAAATCACAAATCCAAATCAAAGGGATAAAAATTTCCAAAATTTCAGTAAAGATTAAAAAGGTGAAATATGAATTGCTTGTTTACAGATTTAATGACTGATGTATACTTGAAAATTGTTTGCACTCCTCCACTTGTGACAGGTTTTCCCCGTGGGTGTTAATGTGGTGGAAGATCTGGCCGTGGATTGGATTGGCGGGAACCTGTACTGGAACGACTACGTGTTCGAAACAATCGAGGTCTCCAAGCTTGACGGTAGTGTCAGAACAATTCTGTTCAGTCAGAACATCACCAACCCGCGTGGCATTGAAGTCGACCCAAGGAAAGGGTAGGTACAGTATCCACAGAGATGGAACCACTAGATCTGTGTCTGTGATAGAGCAGGGGGAAGGGTCCCTGGAAGCGAGGCAAAATGGACGCACAGCTTGATTTTGGAATTTTGAATATATGAGGATATATTTTATACTGTATATGCAGGAACCTTTTGCCTTGTAAAATATTTAATCTTTATATCAGTAAAATAAATCTTCACTAACGTATTAATTTGATTTGTACCTAGTGGGAATAATTTCCTTAAAAATAAATTCAGTATAAACAAAGTCCTGTGCATGTAGTTAGCCAGCTGATTTGTCAATGCTGGATTCCTTTCCATATGACCAAACAAAATATGAATACAATATTTTGTTGGTGTCGCCACAGGTCACGGTTCATTTTCTGGACAGATTGGGGACAACATCCACGTATCGAGCGAGCAGACATGGACGGACATAATCGTACCAGTATTGTCACCAAGAAGGTCTACTGGCCCAACGGCCTCTCTCTGGATTACCCCAACAGGAGGCTGTACTTTGCGGATGCCCGCCTCGACTACATAGAATACTGTAATTATGATGGGTCTGGACGTCAGCAAGTCTTTGCTAATGACCATGTAAGGATTTGGTTAAACAAAGAATTGTTTTTCTGCATTTTTGTGTTGGTTTCAGTGTGTGAAGCTTTTATTCCTATATGCCTGCCTTGACCAGAGTGTGTTTTGTTATCTAATTTGTTATAATTTTGTTTATCTGATGAACATTTTTAAAAATACATCAAAAGTTATAATGATGGTAGGAAAATCTGGTGAAAATAAAATGTAATATTTACATTTGTATGGCATTGTCAATAGAGATTGGACTTTAAACAACATGCACCACGAGAAAGTCTATTCTTAGCCAATCAATGTGTGACAATATGCTGTTCCAGTTGTTGTACAAATTTGTTCAAACTGTTGATAAGGCGAGAATTTTAAATTTTAAATATATTTTGTAAGTTAAAAAAAATGTGAAAGGTCGAGAATTATTAAACGTAAATATAAACATTGAACTGTTTTTGTATGGCATTTATGATCTAATTGAATGACACAGCTTTGCAAGCAAACAAATCATAATGCACTAGCATGCATTATGTTGTTTGCTTGCAAAGCTGTATCATTCAGATAGATCATAAATGCCATACAAAAACAGTTCAAGGCTTAATTGGCATCAACCACGGACTGTGTGTTGAAAGTGTGTCGTTTTCACTCCCTGGTTTTGCTCTTGTAGTTTCTGCGACATCCCCATGGACTAGTGGTGTTCGAGGACACTATTTTCTGGACTGACCGTGTGGCTGGACGTGTTTCTCAGTGTAATAAGTTCAACTGCTCAGACCGAGGACTGACCATCAGCCGTATCAGCCGTCCTCTTGGAATTGCTGTGATGCATCCAGTCAGACAGCCTTACAGTGCCCTGGATGGTCAGTATGTGGTCAGATGTACCTTAACAGTCAGTATGTGGTCAAATGTACCTTAATGGTCAGTATGTGGTCAGATGTACCTTAACGGTCAGTATGTGGTCAAATGTACCTTAACGGTCAGTATGTGGTCAGATGTACCTTAACGGTCAGTATGTGGTCAGATGTACCTTAACGGTCAGTATGTGGTCAGATGTACCTTAACGGTCAGTATGTGGTCAGATGTACCTTAACGGTCAGTATGTGGTCAGATGTACCTTAACGGTCAGTATGTGGTCAGATGTACCTTAACGGTCAGTATGTGGTCAGATGTACCTTAACGGTCAGTATGTGGTCAGATGTACCTTAACGGTCAGTATGTGGTCAGATGTACCTTAACGGTCAGTATGTGGTCAGATGTACCTTAACGGTCAGTATGTGGTCAGATGTACCTTAACGGTCAGTATGTGGTCAAATGTACCTTAGCGGTCAGTATGTGGTAAAATGTACCCGTCAGTATAGTCTACTGTTATTTTAGTCAAACTCGGACAACATATTAAGTGTGATCAAATCCACAATTACAAGATGGCCACCATTTCCTCTGATTAGACAAGATGTTTCTTACCTTTTATCAATAACAACTTTTATCAATCTTGTCTATTTTTAGGAGGCACAGTAGTCTAGTGGTAGGATGCCGGTTTCGTGACCGAAGGGTTAAGGGTTTGACTACAGGACGGCACTGTGTTGTATCTTTGAGCAAGATACTTTACTCTGCTTGTTCCAGTCTACTCAGCTGTAAATGAGTATGTGGTTGGGCAGAGCTAGAATTGTTAATGCTAGCTGTGAGTGCCCAGTGAGTTGAGAAAGATATTGGCTGGTTGCAAAGGCCCTATAACCACGGATAATAATTTATGAACCCCTTTGCAGACGACCTACGAACTAGGTTGTGATAAAGCGGTATATAAGAACCTCACATTATTATAATTATTATTTGATGTGAATTTCTTGTTCCTAGACAAGATTTGTGACTCAACCAGTGTACTAGTCATTTCTTTCCCTGTCTGAAAGTTTCTTGAGATTATATCAACTAAAGGAACATTATAAACAGGTATATTCCACTAGGAAAATTATATTCACATGAATATAAAAGTTAAGCTCAACTAGAGTTAAAGTTGAAAGGTCGAAAAAAGGTGTGTGAGGCCGGGTAGGTAAGTGTCAAGTTTGTCAACAGGTCTGAAGCATAATGGCAGTGTTAGAACTCCTGGTTGCTGGTGTGTGTAACACCCAGGGTATAGGGTAACTCTTGTCAGACCCATTAACAGGGTAACTCCCATGGTATAGGGTAACTCTTGTCAGACCCATTAACAGGTTAACTCTCAGGGTAGGGTATAGGGTAACTCTTGTCAGACCCTGTAACTCCCACTCGTGTCAGACCCATTAACAGGGTAACTCCTATGGTATAGGGTAACTCTTGTCAGACCTATTAACAGAGTAACTCCCAGGGTATAGGGTAACTCTTGTCAAACCCCTGTAACTCCCACTTGTGTCAGACCCATTAACAGGGTAACTCCCAGGGTATAGGGTAACTCTTGTCAGACCTTTGTAACTCCCACTCTTGTCAGACCCCTGTAACTCCCAGGGTATAGGGTAACTCTTGTCAGACCCCTGTAACTCCCATGGTATAGGGTAACTCTTGTCAGACCCCTGTAACTCCCATGGTATAGGGTAACTCTTGTCGGACCCCTGTAACTCACACTCTTGTCAGACCCCTGTAACTCCCATGGTATAGGGTAACTCTTGTCAGACCCCTGTAACTCCCAGGGTATAGGGTAACTCTTGTAGGACCCTTGTAACTCCCAGGGTTAAGGGTAACTCTTGTCAGACCCATTAACAGGGAATAGGGTTACTCTTGTCAGACCCATTAACAGGGTATAGGGAAACTCTTGTCAGACCCATTAACAGGGTAACTCCCAGGGTATAGGGTAACTCTTGTCAAACCCCTGTAACTCCCTCTCTTGTCAGACCCCTGTAACTCCCAGGGTATAGGGTAACTCGTGTCAGACCCATTAACAGGGCAACTCCCAGGGTATAGGGTAACTCTTGTCAGACCCCTGTAACTCCCAGGGTATAGGGTAACTCTTGTCGGACCCCTGTAACTCCCAGGGTATAGGGTAACTCGTGTCAGACCCATTAACAGGGTAACTCCCAGGGTATAGGGTAACTCTTGTCAGACCCCCGTAACTACCACGGTATAGGGTAACATGTCAGACCCCTGTAACTCCCAGGGTATAGGGTAACTCTTGTGGGACCCCTGTAACTCCCAGGGTAAAGGGTAACTCGTGTCAGACCCATTAACAGAGTATAGGGTAACTCATGTCAGACCCATTAACAGGGTAAAGGGTAACTCTTGTCAGACCCATTAACAGGGTATAGGGTAACTCTTGTCAGACCCTTAACAGGGTCATACTGTTATTGTATAGATTCTATTTGCTTCAGGCAGCCCTGGGTGAAAGTACCGGTTACATGTCTGAGTCAGATCTTGAAACTGTTTATCTTTATTAATTGGTTGTAGTGAATTGAAGTTTCTTGTGACTCCTTGTTTTGCTTAAATAGTACATTGTATTGTTTTTCTTTGCAAGGTACATGCAACCCCTGCTCCAACTTGTCCTATCTTAGAAAGCTAGTTGCTAAGTAAGCCCTCTAAAGTCATCATATCTTGTTGCCTGGTAACCCCTGTTCCAACTCCTCCTATCTTGTTCCTAGGTAACCCTGCTCTATCTTGCTCTATCTTGTTACCGGGTAACCCCTGCTCAAACTTGTCCTTTCTTGTTGCCAGGTAACCCCTGCTCCAACTTGTCCTTTCTTGTTACCAGGTAGCCCCTGCTTAACCTTGTCCTTTCTTGTTGCTAGGTAACCCCTGATCCAGTTCCTCCTATGTTGTAACCTGGGAACCCCTGCTCCATCTTGTTCTATCTTGTTGCTATGTAACCCCTGATCCAGTTCCTCCTATGTTCTACCCTGGTAACCCCTGCTCCATCTTGTTCTTTCTTGTTGCTAGGTTATCCCTGCTCCAACTCCTCCTATCTTGTTGCTAGCTAACCCCTGCTCCATCTTGTTCTATCTTGTCGCTAGGTAACCCCTGTTCCAACTTGTTTTATCTTGTTGCTAGGTAACCCCTGATCCAGTTCCTCCTATGTTGTAACCTGGGAACCCCTGCTCCATCTTGTTCTATCTTGTTGCTAGGCAACCCCTGCTCCAACTCCTTCTTTCTTGTTACCTGGGAACCCCTGCTCCATCTTGTTCTATCTTGTCGCTAGGTAACCCCTGTTCCAACTTGTTTTATCTTGTTGCTAGGTTATGCCAGCTCCAACTCCACCTATCTTGTTGCTAGCTAACCCCTGCTCCATCTTGTTCTATCTTGTTGCTAGGCAACCCCTGCTCCAACTCCTTCTTTCTTGTTACCTGGTAACCCCTGCTCCATCTTGTTCTTTCTTGTTGCTAGGTTATCCCTGCTCCAACTCCTCCTATCTTGTTGCTAGCTAACCCCTGCTCCATCTTGTTCTATCTTGTCGCTAGGTAACCCCTGTTCCAACTTGTTTTATCTTGTTGCTAGGTTATCCCAGCTCCAACTCCACCTATCTTGTTGCTAGCTAACCCCTGCTCCATCTTGTTCTATCTTGTTGCTAGGTAACCCAAGTTCCAACTTGTTCTATCTTGTTGCTAGGTAACCCCTGTTCTAACTTGTTCTATCTTGTTGCTAGGTTATCCCTGCTCCAACTTCTCCTATCTTGTTACTAGGTAACTCCTGCTCCATCTTGTTCTATCTTGTTGCTAGGTAACCCCTGTTCCAACTTGTTCTATCTTGTTGCAAGGTTATCCCTGCTCCAATTCCTCCTATCTTGTTGCCAGGTTACCCCTGTTCCAACTGGTTCTATCTTGTTGCTAGGTAACCCCTGTTCCAACTTGTTCTATCTTGTTGCTAGGTAACCCCTGTTCCAACTTGTTCTATCTTGTTGCTAGGTAACCCCTGTTCTAACTTGTTCTATCTTGTTGCTAGGTTATTCCTGCTCCAACTCCTCCTATCTTGTTACTAGGTAACCCCTGCTCCATCTTGTTCTATCTTGTTGCTAGGTTACCCCTGCTCCAACTTGTCCTTTCTTGTTACCAGGTAGCCCCTGCTTAACCTTGTCCTTTCTTGTTGCTAGGTTATCCCTGATCCAGCTCCTCCTATGTTGTAACCTGGTAACCCCTGCTCCATCTTATTCTATCTTGTTGCTAGGTAACCCCTGTTCAAACTTGTTCTATCTCGTTGCTAGGTAACCCCTGTTCCAACTTGTTCTATCTTGATGCTAGGTTCTCCCTGCTCCAACTCCTCCTATCTTGATGCTAGGTAACCCCTGCTCCAACTCCTCCTATCTTGTTGCCAGGTAACCCCTGTTCCATCTTGTTCTATCTTGTTGCTAGTTTACCCCTGCTCCAACTTGTCCTTTCTTGTTACCACGTAGCCCCTGCTTAACCTTGTCCTTTCTTGTTGCTAGGTTATCCCTGATCCAGCTCCTCCTATCTTGTAACCTGGTAACCCCTGCTCCATCTTGTTCTATCTTGTTGCTAGGCAACCCCTGCTCCAACTCCTTCTTTCTTGTTACCTGGTAACCCCTGCTCCAACTTGTTCTGTCTTGTTGCTAGGTAACCCCTGCTCTATCTTGTTCTATCTTGATACTAGGTAACCCCTGTTCCAACTTGATCTATCTTGTTGCCAGGTAACCCCTGTTCCATCTTGTTCTATCTTGTTGCTAGGTACCCCCTGTTCAAACTTGTTCTATCTTGTTGCTAGGTAACCCCTATTCCAACTTGTTCTATCTTGTTGCTAGGTAACCCCTGCTCCAACTCCTCCTATCTTGTTGCTAGGTAACCCCTGCTCCAACTTGTTCTGTCTTGTTGCTAGGTAACCCCTGTTCTAACTTGTTCCATCTTGTTGCTAGGTAACCCCTGCTCTATCTTGTTCTATCTTGATACTAGGTAACCCCTGTTCCAACTTGTTCTATCTTGTTGCCAGGTAACCCCTGTTCCAACTCATCCTGTAGCCATCTGTGTCTCCTGTCATCTGTGAAACCCAAGGGATTCTCATGTGCCTGCCCTGTCGATATGAAGCTGGATGATTCAGAAAACAAGTGCATCCCCTGTAAGTATTACATGTCTGGTGTATTTAAGGCCAGGACAGATTGATAAACGAAATTTTCACAAAGCATCCAATTTAACTTGCTTTGGTTGAGTATTACATCTGAACTTAACAAAAGTTGCTGAAGCCTGTTTGATAAAATGCAATGAAAACTTGTTTGAGATTCCGGAATTATCTCAAATTACTATGAAATGATTGGTTAATGTATTTGACCAGGGGTCAATACTTAAAACAAGTTTATTTAAAAACGATTGGTATAGATCTATTGACACCTTATCTCTTTATGAAAATACTGTAAATGTCTAGGTAATTCCACATAACAATGACCACACTTACTTAATACAAACTTTGATATCATAAACATTAGAAATTCCCTGTCTATAAAAAAAGTCAGTGATCTTAGGATTTCTATTTATGTTTACCGAGATATTTATATTTTTTCCGCCAGTATTTTGGTACCAGCGTTTTCAACATAACATGGTTACACTGTTAAAGGGTTCTAAGTCTTAGCACGTTCACTTCTAACCAAGATGGCCGGGCATTGATTCCCAAATCAGACGTGAAAAGACATGCGATCACCTGCCAAACCGCTGTATAATAACTTATACGTGATCTGATTGGTGTGTTTGTCAGTATCATAACTTATACGTGATCTGATTGGTGTGTTTGTCAGAATAATAACTTATACGTGATCTGATTGGTGTGTTTGTCAGTATAATAACTTATACGTGATCTGCTTGGTGTGTTTGTCAGAATCATAACTTATACGTGATCTGATTGGTGTGTTTGTCAGTATAATAACTTATACGTGATCTGATTGGTGTGTTTGTCAGAATCATAACTTATACGTGATCTGATTGGTGTGTTTGTCAGTATCATAACTTATACCTGATCTGATTGGTGTGTTTGTCAGTATCATAACTTATATGTGATCTGATTGGTGTGTTTGCCCGTATGATAACTTATACGTGATCTGATTGGTGTGTTTGCCAGCTGACCTTGACTACCTGATGTACATGACGAAGTCGGGCATTGTGGGTATTGATATGGAGGATAACGTGACACACCCCCTTCTCCCTGTGGCCAGTGTCCTCAGCGGAATGAACATGGACATCGACAGCGCCAACGGCAGTCTTTATGTTGTGCAGCGTGGTGATGTTTTCAACGTAAGGCTCCTAATTGAGTGTCTAAAATAACAATTTTAAGGCAGTTTTCCATAAAATTCGTCACATTTTTTAATATTTTGTTATTGTAGGAACAGCTCATTTAAATAACAATCTTTTACTAGATTTGACTTTTGATTCTTGTCTCACTGTTAAACTGCATGCTTATATACACTTCCTGTTTAACAGTTATTTCTAACAGCAAGTGAAGTGTGTGATGTTGGAACCTTGAGCAATTCCTGCTTGTGTATTTGTAAAATCTCGCTTTCTTAGTCAGACCAAAACAACAGATTTCTGCTAGATAATAAAAAGCTTGAGCTTCAGCATCAACTTTAAACAGAACAAACAAGCTTAGTGAATGTTTTTAATAGGTTATGGTTTAAATACTGATTGATTAGTTCATTGAAGAATTCTCATAATACAATGATAATATACAGCATTTGATATAGCGCCCTATCTAGCTAACCAGCTATCTAACTAATTAGCATTTACAGTAATCAACACAATTTGAGGAATTCGCAGGAGCTGCCTTATCAGGTGCTAACTACTAGTCCTATGCCACCTGGCTAATATCTCCCTATGTATGTATGCCTGCATGTGTGCTGGAGATATTTTGTGTTCTGTTTGTAGATGGACCGTGCTTCGAACGGTATCATTTATAGTGCCATCTCACTTGAATGCAACAGCACAGATACCGCAACATCCACCCCAGACCATTTCATACACCACCTGGGTTGTTGGAGTTGTGTGGGCAGGAGAAAAACACTTTCTCTGAATATTCCATGTGTACGACAATTTCGGGGATCGAACCCTGGCCGCCTGCGTGGAAGGCCGGAGTGATAACCACTCGACTAATCAGCCCATGAGACAAGTCTGTCATGTGACAAGTCTTATGACCAATTGTGTTGTACAAATTGAAATTAGACTAAAAAAATTGGCAAGGATATGTTAAAACTAAATTTGTTACTTACATATTTGTTGTTAAGTGATATTTGGATATTGAACTCTTGGCATTCTGTTTACAATTTGTTATTTGAATTTAATTCTTTACAATTAATTCAGGCATCAGTGGTAAAGGTATCAATACGGGATGGTAACGTGTCACAGTTTATGCCGTCCAAGTTTTCTGGGTACGTACACGCTGTGGCGGTGGACTGGGTGGCCAGGAATCTGTACTGGGCCGACACTAAGGCGGGTACCATTGAGGTGATGAAACTAGATGGCAAACATAACAGCAAAGTGCTCATGTCCAACACTGGCAGTCCACTTGACTGTGACCAGCCTGTGTCCTTGACCCTTGACCCTTCAAAGGGGTAAGTAGGGATCCTTGATCTCTCCAAAGAGTAAGATTTGTTCTTGGTGAAAACAATCTTTGACCTTTGACCTTCAAAAGTTTTTTGTCCTTAATCCTTAACCCAGCTGAAGGGTTCTAGTGTTCTTGATATTCTTACATTTGACTCCTTAATGGGGTTATCATTGTCCCCTACTTTTCAGACAATGCAATATAACCATTGATGAATATCAGATGCTGGAGAAATGTCAGAAGGTAAATTGATTTGTGAGAGAATTTATAGTGTTTAATAGTTAAAACATTAGCTATTTATAAAATATACTATTAAAAAGTATTGTCCTTAACTGAATATGACCTGTCTAAGCCCGTGTTGTAGTGCAGGCGGTAAGTTTGGTGTCAGGTAGGTGTACAAGATAACAGGAATTTCTGACCAGCTATCCTAAAAGCTTATACATATAAAAACTCTGATGTTTATTCAAGTATTTGAAAAAAAAACACCTTACCTTAGCGTGCTGGTGGTCAGTTGTGAGATCCTGTATTTGTTTATAGGACTCTGTACTGGGCTGATCTCGGTGGAAATGGAGTCCCCGCTAAAATTGCCTCCATGCGTATGGACGGTACTCGTCCCCAAATTGTCCACGAGAGGCGGGTGGAAGTCCCTGGAGATATTGCCATAGATACCAGTTCCCGTTTGCTCTACTGGGCCGACTCCGCTAAAAACTGGGTGAGTAGTTTAACTTAACCCATTCACCCCTAAAGTCACATTTGAACCTTACCAAATCAAAGACTGGGCAAGTCCAGTTTAGATATGTAGGGGTGAATGAGTTAACCAGTGTTATTGGAGGGTAAGTCACACTTCTCCTGAAGCAGCTGAAATTCTTCTGTTTAATCTAAACTTAATGTACATCTCTGCTGCACAAAATAGTCTGATGGGGAAAATCACATTTTAATAACAGCTTAATATTTTTTTATCACATTTTTACCAGTAAAATATGGGAGCAATGCACGTAAGTTAATGTGTTGATTTTCACTGCATTAAAGTGACTGGGGACAAAATCGTATAAAGCCTTGAAAAGTTAAGATTTTTTTTTGTGTAAAGTGTAAAATAGTCCTTAGATTTCTTTAATTAAATCCTTAATATACATATTAATTGGTTTCTGGGCCTGTAATATAAATTATCCCTTTTAGATAATGGCTTTATCCTTAGACAAGACTCACACTCACAGGACTAGAGTTGTCCACTCCAATCTTGGTAACCCGACAGGTCTGGCCATATTTAACCGACGACTTTACTTCGCCGACCCTGATCACGAGAGAATATACTACATACCTCTTGACCACCCGCGGGAAATGCACATCGTCAAGGAAAACATCGCCCTCCTTACTGACCTCGTTGTTTATAATGACCGTCACTCTAAAGGTAACGTCACTCGTCACACAAAACAGGTCTACGGTCACTACGATCTACTTATTTACATTATTGTAAGTTAAATACGCTGTTTTTTTCAGAGGTCAGTGTTTTCAAGTCATCTTGAATTTATTCCTCAATTTTATTAAAATTTATTTGATTAATTGTTATATTGCATTGATTCTATGAATTATAAGGAAATTGAGTAAATGAATTTGCATTAATTCTATGAATTATAAGGAAATTGAGTAAATGAATTTGAGTTCTATTAGAATTTTACTCTGTAACAGAAACAAAAGGAAAAAATTGTTTTTCTACATTAGAAATATTTGGGAAAGGATTTAAATAACGCACCAGTCTTTACAGGCCCTATGGACCTCGTGTACAAATCCAGACCCTGGCTCCACTCGAGACGCAACTTCGATACTGCATGCTTCAAGTTTGAGAATGAATGCCTTATTTTATGACTTTAATCCTTGTTGTGTTTAAGGGGAGTCAAATGCCTGTACCAAAAACTACAGCGGTTCCTGTGAGCACCTGTGTCTAACATTGGGGAATGGGCAACACACCTGTGGCTGTAGTACAGGGTACACAAAGTCTGGAAACAGCTCCTGTGTAGGTGCGTAACGCATGTCTGACTTCTGAAGTTTTTAGGTTGTATACAAATATCTGTAAGTCAGGAGCAAAAAGATGCATGGCCAGACTGGGGTCGAACCTGGGACCCTCCGAACTCTAGACAGACACTCTACCAATTGAGCTATCTTGTTCCCGACGATCGGCCCAGTCCAGTTCAACTACATCCCTCCCTCCTTTTTCTAAGTCTTCGCCCCAAAGGCCAAACTATTTACAATTCAGGTTCGGGTATCCTCTTGCCAAGCTTACACTAAATGCTTGAAACAATGGTTGGTCACAGGCACCACTGTAACAGGAGCAGAAAAAGGCACAGCCAGACCGGGGTTCGAACCTTGGACCTTGGACCTTGGACTCTAGACAGATGGAGCTATGTATCTGGTCGCTGACGATCGATTAAGTCCAGTTCCGATCCCTCATAAGCTTCAGAACAAATGTACACCATAGTATGGTAACATCATGTTCTACACCAGCTAAATTTTTGTGGTCATTGGTCAAGGTCACTAAGGATCAAAGGTCACACTTTGTGTCTTTAGGGATTGGAAGCATAATTTATGTGAGCATCAAATTTCATTTTATATTTTAAGAAAATGAAGCCTTGAATTTTGGGATTATTCTGAAACATGTGCCTAATTATCCGTAAAATATTTTGCAGCGGTGGAGAGTTTCCTAGTTGTATCCCAATCGGACATCATTCGTGGCTTTAACCTCGTCAAGAAAGATCACAGTGATGCTATGCCTCCAATCCGTGGCAGAGGTAAGTCTTCAGAGACATGTAAGGCCAATCCATTACAGAGGTAGATATCATACATACATGTACGACCCATCTGTGACAGAGGTAGATATCACACATACATGTACGACCCATCTGTGATAGAGGTAGATATCACACATACATGTACGGCCCATCTGTGACAGAGGTAGATATCATACATACATGTACGGCCCATCTGTGACAGAGGTAGATATCATACATACATGTACAGCCCATCTGTGACAGAGGTAGATATCACACATACATGTACGGCCCATCTGTGACAGAGGTAGATATCACACATACATGTACGGCCCATCTGTGACAGAGGTAGATATCACACATACATGTACGGCCCATCTGTGACAGAGGTAGATATCACACATACATGTACGGCCCATCTGTGACAGAGGTAGATATCACACATACATGTACGGCCCATCTGTGACAGAGGTAGATATCACACATACATGTACGGCCCATCTGTGACAGAGGTAGATATCACACATACATGTACGGCCCATCTGTGACAGAGGTAGATATCACACATACATGTACGGCCCATCTGTGACAGAGGTAGATATCACACATACATGTACGGCCCATCTGTGACAGAGGTAGATATCACACATACATGTACGGCCCATCTGTGACAGAGGTAGATATCATACATACATGTACGGCCCATCTGTGACAGAGGTAGATATCACACATACATGTACGGCCCATCTGTGACAGAGGTAGATATCACACATACATGTACGGCCCATCTGTGACAGAGGTAGATATCACACATACATGTACGGCCCATCTGTGACAGAGGTAGATATCACACATACATGTACGGCCCATCTGTGACAGAGGTAGATATCACACATACATGTACGGCCCATCTGTGACAGAGGTAGATATCACACATACATGTACGGCCCATCTGTGACAGAGGTAGATATCACACATACATGTACGGCCCATCTGTGACAGAGGTAGATATCACACATACATGTACGGCCCATCTGTGACAGAGGTAGATATCACACATACATGTACGGCCCATCTGTGACAGAGGTAGATATCACACATACATGTACGGCCCATCTGTGACAGAGGTAGATATCACACATACATGTACGGCCCATCTGTGACAGAGGTAGATATCACACATACATGTACGGCCCATCTGTGACAGAGGTAGATATCACACATACATGTACGGCCCATCTGTGACAGAGGTAGATATCACACATACATGTACGGCCCATCTGTGACAGAGGTAGATATCACACATACATGTACGGCCCATCTGTGACAGAGGTAGATATCACACATACATGTACGGCCCATCTGTGACAGAGGTAGATATCACACATACATGTACGGCCCATCTGTGACAGAGGTAGATATCACACATACATGTACGGCCCATCTGTGACAGAGGTAGATATCACACATACATGTACGGCCCATCTGTGACAGAGGTAGATATCACACATACATGTACGGCCCATCTGTGACAGAGGTAGATATCACACATACATGTACGGCCCATCTGTGACAGAGGTAGATATCACACATACATGTACGGCCCATCTGTGACAGAGGTAGATATCACACATACATGTACGGCCCATCTGTGACAGAGGTAGATATCACACATACATGTACGGCCCATCTGTGACAGAGGTAGATATCACACATACATGTACGGCCCATCTGTGACAGAGGTAGATATCACACATACATGTACGGCCCATCTGTGACAGAGGTAGATATCACACATACATGTACGGCCCATCTGTGACAGAGGTAGATATCACACATACATGTACGGCCCATCTGTGACAGAGGTAGATATCACACATACATGTACGGCCCATCTGTGACAGAGGTAGATATCATACATACATGTACGGCCCATCTGTGACAGAGGTAGATATCATACATACATGTACGGCCCATCTGTGACAGAGGTAGATATCATACATACATGTACGGCCCATCTGTGACAGAGGTAGATATCATACATACATGTACGGCCCATCTGTGACAGAGGTAGATATCATACATACATGTACGGCCCATCTGTGACAGAGGTAGATATCATACATACATGTACGGCCCATCTGTGACAGAGGTAGATATCATACATACATGTACGGCCCATCTGTGACAGAGGTAGATATCATACATACATGTACGGCCCATCTGTGACAGAGGTAGATATCATACATACATGTACGGCCCATCTGTGACAGAGGTAGATATCATACATACATGTACGGCCCATCTGTGACAGAGGTAGATATCATACATACATGTACGGCCCATCTGTGACAGAGGTAGATATCATACATACATGTACGGCCCATCTGTGACAGAGGTAGATATCATACATACATGTACGGCCCATCTGTGACAGAGGTAGATATCATACATACATGTACGGCCCATCTGTGACAGAGGTAGATATCATACATACATGTACGGCCCATCTGTGACAGAGGTAGATATCATACATACATGTACGGCCCATCTGTGACAGAGGTAGATATCATACATACATGTACGGCCCATCTGTGACAGAGGTAGATATCATACATACATGTACGGCCCATCTGTGACAGAGGTAGATATCATACATACATGTACGGCCCATCTGTGACAGAGGTAGATATCATACATACATGTACGGCCCATCTGTGACAGAGGTAGATATCATACATACATGTACGGCCCATCTGTGACAGAGGTAGATATCATACATACATGTACGGCCCATCTGTGACAGAGGTAGATATCATACATACATGTACGGCCCATCTGTGACAGAGGTAGATATCATACATACATGTACGGCCCATCTGTGACAGAGGTAGATATCATACATACATGTACGGCCCATCTGTGACAGAGGTAGATATCATACATACATGTACGGCCCATCTGTGACAGAGGTAGATATCATACATACATGTACGGCCCATCTGTGACAGAGGTAGATATCATACATACATGTACGGCCCATCTGTGACAGAGGTAGATATCATACATACATGTACGGCCCATCTGTGACAGAGGTAGATATCATACATACATGTACGGCCCATCTGTGACAGAGGTAGATATCATACATACATGTACGGCCCATCTGTGACAGAGGTAGATATCATACATACATGTACGGCCCATCTGTGACAGAGGTAGATATCATACATACATGTACGGCCCATCTGTGACAGAGGTAGATATCATACATACATGTACGGCCCATCTGTGACAGAGGTAGATATCATACATACATGTACGGCCCATCTGTGACAGAGGTAGATATCATACATACATGTACGGCCCATCTGTGACAGAGGTAGATATCATACATACATGTACGGCCCATCTGTGACAGAGGTAGATATCATACATACATGTACGGCCCATCTGTGACAGAGGTAGATATCATACATACATGTACGGCCCATCTGTGACAGAGGTAGATATCATACATACATGTACGGCCCATCTGTGACAGAGGTAGATATCACACATACATGTACGGCCCATCTGTGACAGAGGTAGATATCATACATACATGTACGACCCATCTGTGACAGAGTTAGATATAACATGTACATGTACGACCCATCTGTGACAGAGGTAGATATCACACATACATGTACGGCCCATCTGTGAGAGAGGTAGATATCATACATACATGTACGGTCAATCTGTGATAGAGGTAGATATTACACATCCATGTAGGGCCTATCTGTGGCAGAGGAAAGTCTTGAAAGGTACACACAAATTGATTGTATTTTTAATTGTTAGACATTAATTTAAGGTAATTTTGATGGATATACATAATTTTAACTGACGGTACTTTTTAATGGAAACATAAAATTTAATGGTACTTTTAATGGTTATATGAAATTTTAGGACACAAGAATGCCTATATTGAAGACATTCCATATTTTTAAAAGAGTAATTTTATCATTATCATAGCAAAGCTATTTGATCTTTCAGTTTTACAATTATTATTCACTTTGTATAAATTGTGATAATAGATAGAAGAGTGATTGAAGTTGACGTTCATATCAAGAATGATCACATCTACTGGATAGACCACGACCCTGCAGGGCTGAGGGGACGCAACTTCAATGGCATCCGCCGAATAAAGCGTGATGGCTCCGAGTTTGAACAGGTCATAAACACTGGCACGGGTCTGAAGCCTGGCGATGGAGTTAAGGGCATGGCCATTGACTGGGTCGCAGGTAATTACACAAGTCTGTAGAATCCGCGGGTGTTAGGACTTCTGGTTTGGTTCAAGATTCATTATTGCTATAATGTTCATATATATTAAAATATGTTGTTTTCTGCGTTTCATATTGTTTGCTAACTGTTCTAGCCTTTAGCATAACTTTTGGATCATTTTTTGAATGAAATATGATAAATAGGGTTGGTTCAGTCACATTTCTTTTTAAAAAAAGAAAAAAACAACTTTTGAATGTTTTAGGAAACATATACTTCTCTAACATCAAGAATTACGAGACTTACATTGAGGCAGCAAGGATGAATGGTTCCCACCGCCTTGTTCTCATACAGGAGAGGGAGTCTTCTCCCTGGGCCCTCGCTGTCAACCCAATCAAAAGGTATGTCTATATATATATTTGTATCTCAAATTTTCTACTGTTATCACTCACCATCTACTCAGCTAAAATAAATGTCTCTTCAAGTTTCTCCTATACTGGACAGTTTGACAGTTGTCTTCCTTAGCCCTCCCCATCAAGGCTGGATCAAAAAGTTAGTCTGGTTGTATCTCCCAGCCTTCCTCTACCCATTCAAATGATACATTCCAGTTCTGAATTAAGAGAGTTGCCTCCCTTAGTCTTCGTCTACCCATTCAAATAAAACACTCCAGTTCTGTATCAAGAGACCTCCCTTAGCCTTTTGAATGATTTTAGTCTTACTTGATATGATTGCTGTATGTGTCATAAAGAATGTATTTTTCAAAGGGAGTTAACTGTGTTTCAGGTACCTCTACTGGGTGGATAAAGGTCAGTTCCCTAAAATAGAGCGTGCTCACCTGGATGGGACCCATCGCAAAATTATCATTGACAAGGGAATCGTTCGTCCCTACAGCATCACCATTGACGTGGCAACGCATGACGTGTACTGGGTGGACACGCGTGTAGATGCTATACAGGTAACAAAATGGGTCGTGATCTTGTACATCAGAGATCTTTTCGCTCGACTACCTTTTTACAAAAGCTCAAAACAATTTCAGTAATTTCTTTAATTTGGTTTCTTGTGTTTAGCATCCTATAAACAGTTAAGGACATTTAAGGACGTGACTTCATGTGTGTATTGCTGGAGGTGCATGGTTTAGGGAACTGTGTGAAAGTTCACTAAATAAATCATTCAAACATGCCTTTTTTTTTTGCAGTTTTGGACTAAAAGCATATTGAAGTTGATTAAGCTTAAAATACAGTAAGAAGAAGTATAATTGTTTGTTTGTTTCAACAGAAAGTGTCGTACACTGGAGGAGGCCGATCCTACGTCCGTACCAACCTCCCATCCCCGATCAGCATCACCGTCCTAGGAAACAAGATCTTCTGGGCCGACTCCAAACTCAAACAGGTATTATATAATTACGTGGACAGACTCTTAGCTTAAACAGTATAGTGTTACAGTGGTGAACCATCCAGTCACTTGTTACTTAATCGGCTGGAAAGAATGTCCCTTAGTACAATAAGTAAAGCACTGGACTAGCTACAGAATCAGTGTTATCCTCAGGGTTTGACCTCTACCGTAAATGTGACCTTGGGTAACTGGCACTCACATAGGGACTTGGGTAGATAATGCCCTTAAGGTTATAGGAGTGTATTGATAAACGGAAATAGGAAGAACATCCCGGGTGGAAAATCCAATGTAGGGAGACAGTATCACAATTTCCGCATATTCTAATGTTTAATATTAAACTGATGAATATTGTATGTTTATTATTGACAGAACAGTGTGTTCTCTCAATATTAAAGTATTTCAAAGCAATCCAGGCATTAATTCAGTTGTTTTTTATCAATGAGTCAGATCTGTCCATTTTTCTGTACTTCAGGAAACCGGCTACCTATTTCACTACTGTGAAGTTTTTCAAGAACGATAACTCTTACGTGCAATTACTATGTGTATATGGTTTTATTATAAAATGTCAATTTCTAATCGTTTATAGATAATTAATTTTAAACAATTTCAGCATTTATTAAATTGATATACATTAATGAAATTCTAATCTATGGCAGTATCATTTCTATTGACATTATTTTGCAAAAAATTGTGTCTTTCATGTTTTTTTATAAATTCATTCCTTTTTATATAAATTTCCATTTAAAATCCTTAAAATTCTGACAACCTATATTTTTTCTGTGGCAGAAAATTTTCTTTACTTCAAAGCAATATATAACTACAAAATTTGAAGAAATTCTACTGAGAAATGACGACACAATCCTATTGCCTTAACCTTTCTCTCTCAATGGTACTCTAGAAAACATGAGAATGAGATCTTCCAACAGAAGAGAACTATGTCACGTCGGTGAACAATCTTATAGTTGCTTAAATGTTATTATGTCTGCTTGAAAAAAAATTCCTTTAACTTAATCAGTAGAGCATTGTTTAGGTAACCTAGCTACGGTGGAGGGATTTCAACCCCTAGTAGTTCAGCTGGAAAACGTGACCTCAGTTTACATATAACTCATGTTAACTGTTTGTTCTGTAGGTATTGAAGATATACAAGAAAAATGTGTTGGACCCAGAAATTGTGAGAAACAGCATCAGCAACCTGCGCAGTATTGCCATGTTTGATGCATCCAAACAGCCTCAAGGTAAAAGTTCAGGGTCTTAGGAAAGCTTGAATGTGACTCAACACAAGTATTCAATATTTCAGGGTCTTAGGAAAACTTGACTGTGACTCAACACAATTCAAGTATTCAATATTTCAGGGTCTTAGGAAAGCTTGAATGTGACTCAACACAAGTATTAGATAGTTGAGGGTGTTAGGAAAGCTTGAATGTGACCCAATACAAGTATTGGATATTTCAGGGTATAAGGAAAGGTTGAATGTCAATCAAAACAAGTATTTGCTAACGTTTGTTTGGCTGAAGATGACTTCAAATGGTAAATTGAATTTGTTAGTCGAGTTGTGGAGAAATATTTTTTTTCGTTCAGTGTTTTCGTTTGTCCTTGTAACAGCAAAGGTTATATGAAGTCTGAGTGTCTTGGGAGTCATTGCATCTGTATATGTTATGTTCTGTCGTATTATAAGCTAGAACTGTTATAAGTTGTAATAACTTTTCATCAGTGAAATATGTTTACACTAAAGACATAGCCGAAAAAAGAGTAGGTAGATGACAAAATAGAGGTTCCTAAAGTCGCAAAGGGGACAGCAGATCCTTGTTGGGTTCTTCAATGCCCTCTAAGGGGAGGTCACAGAAGAAACCCTTGGTTTGGGCCCCACATTAGTCAGCTCATACGATCATGCAGTGGGATAGAGCAGACCTTATCTGTCCCTGGATTTACACTACAGACCATGTCTTGTGTCTCCAGAGCTTTGTTTAGAATTAAAAATGTTATCCAGAAACATTTCAGAAAGACTTCGGTTATAAACTTCATGTTTCTTTGAGAGCTGAAAATGTAATATGCATTGTCAGGAAAGCTTAAAGTAGAACTGGTACTAAGTCTGTATTTAGACTGATTGGCAATAAAAAGATACCTTTTTGTTGTGATACAGACACTATGGGCCTTTTGGTGTCTCAGTCCTGCATTGATATTTGACGTGTTTGATTGTTAAACCAACACTGTAATAGGATGGATCTGAAGTACAGTGAGTTCAAAGTTACACATCCCTACATTTCAACACCAAATGTATTCTCCCAAGTGTGTCTTTCTTCTTTTTCGGTCATTTTTGGTCGTTATTTTGTTCCTAGCAACATAAAAAACAATGCGAAAAAACCCACAAAAGTAGCTTCATTACTACTTTCGTTTTTTGTTTTTTTTATAAAAAGGCAAGTTTGCACTTACTTACTTATACTGCCTGTTACACCTTTGGCTTGTAGGGCAGCAACCAAATCTCTCCTCACCTGTCTTTTGTTGACCATTCTTTGTATAATACTCCAGTTGTTCTTCGAATGTGCTCCTCTGTGTTATCTTGGTCTACCTCACTTACCGATACCCTCAGGGGTCCAGAAGATGGTGGTCTTTATAATGCTGTCCGAGCCCTTTCTCAGTTCATGTCTGAGCCATCTCCATTATCTTCTATCAGTTGTGGTGGCCATGACTTCTCAGTGACATCTCCATTTATTTTCTATCAGTTGTGGTGGCCACGACTTCTCAGTGACATCTATCTTCTATCAGTTGTGGTGGCCATGACTTCTCAGTGACATCTCCATTATCTTCTATCAGTTGTGGTGGCCATGACTTCTCAGTGACATCTCCATTATCTTCTATCAGTTGTGGTGGCCATGACTTCTCAGTGACATCTCCATTATCTTCTATCAGTTGTGGTGGCCATGACTTCTCAGTGACATCTCCATTATCTTCTATCAGTTGTGGTGGCCATGACTTCTCAGTGACATCTCCATTATCTTCTATCAGTTGTGGTGGCCATGACTTCTCAGTGACATCTCCATTATCTTCTATCAGTTGTGGTGGCCATGACTTCTCAGTGACATCTCCATTATCTTCTATCAGTTGTGGTGGCCATGACTTCTCAGTGACATCTCCATTATCTTCTATCAGTTGTGGTGGCCATGACTTCTCAGTGACATCTCCATTATCTTCTATCAGTTGTGGTGGCCATGACTTCTCAGTGACATCTCCATTATCTTCTATCAGTTGTGGTGGCCATGACTTCTCAGTGACATCTCCATTATCTTCTATCAGTTGTGGTGGCCATGACTTCTCAGTGACATCTCCATTATCTTCTATCAGTTGTGGTGGCCATGACTTCTCAGTGACATCTCCATTATCTTCTATCAGTTGTGGTGGCCATGACTTCTCAGTGACATCTCCATTATCTTCTATCAGTTGTGGTGGCCATGACTTCTCAGTGACATCTCCATTATCTTCTATCAGTTGTGGTGGCCATGACTTCTCAGTGACATCTCCATTATCTTCTATCAGTTGTGGTGGCCATGACTTCTCAGTGACATCTCCATTATCTTCTATCAGTTGTGGTGGCCATGACTTCTCAGTGACATCTCCATTATCTTCTATCAGTTGTGGTGGCCATGACTTCTCAGTGACATCTCCATTATCTTCTATCAGTTGTGGTGGCCATGACTTCTCAGTGACATCTCCATTATCTTCTATCAGTTGTGGTGGCCATGACTTCTCAGTGACATCTCCATTATCTTCTATCAGTTGTGGTGGCCATGACTTCTCAGTGACATCTCCATTATCTTCTATCAGTTGTGGTGGCCATGACTTCTCAGTGACATCTCCATTATCTTCTATCAGTTGTGGTGGCCATGACTTCTCAGTGACATCTCCATTATCTTCTATCAGTTGTGGTGGCCATGACTTCTCAGTGACATCTCCATTATCTTCTATCAGTTGTGGTGGCCATGACTTCTCAGTGACATCTCCATTATCTTCTATCAGTTGTGGTGGCCATGACTTCTCAGTGACATCTCCATTATCTTCTATCAGTTGTGGTGGCCATGACTTCTCAGTGACATCTCCATTATCTTCTATCAGTTGTGGTGGCCATGACTTCTCAGTGACATCTCCAGTATCTTCTATCAGTTGTGGTGGCCATGACTTCTCAGTGACATCTGTTGAGGAGGTCCAGGTTTGTTATTGTACTGGGCCATATAACATTCTTATGATCCTTCTCAGACTTTGTGTGTGAAAAGTTGACATCTTAAATGAAGATCCTGCTTAGTGATTTTCCAACATTCAGATCAGAAATATTGGTAGTTAGCACCTGTTCTAGAGTTTGTATTCCTGATACAGAAAGTTTACTGTGTAGAAGTATACACTGGGAGTATTGAGAGATACGATTAGTTCTGGTAACTTTTTGAGCGATGCTGCTGGCTAAAATATAAACTGAACTTCAGCATATACTCTCTGTGTTACAGTGGAGAATCCATGCTCCGGCCCTGACAATGGGGGATGTGAACAACTGTGTTTTGCCAAACCAAACAAGACACAACCTGTATGTAGTTGTTCTACAGGAGATCTGGCACCTGACAACCAAACCTGTAAAGGTAGGTACAAACAGGTGATCTGACCCGACAACCAAACCTGTAAAGGTAAGTACAAACAGGGGATCTGACCCGACAACCAAACCTGTAAAGGTAGGTACAAACAGGGGATCTGACCCTGACAACAAAACCTGTAAAGGTAGGTACAAACAGGGGATCTGACCTGACAACAAAACCTGTAAAGGTAGGTACAAACAGGGGATCTGACCCGACAACCAAACCTGTAAAGGTAAGTACATACAGGGGATCTGACCCGACAACCAAACCTGGAAAGGTAGGTACATACAGGAGATCTGAGTCTGACAACAAAACCTGTAAAGGTAGATACACACAGGAGATCTTACCATGACAACCAAACCTGTAAAGGTAGGTATATACAGGGGATCTGACCCTAACAACCAAACCTGTAAAGGTAGGTACATACAGGAGATCTGGCACCTGACAACCAAACCTGTAAAGGTAGGTATATACAGGAGATCTGGCAACTGACAACCAAACCTGTAAAGGTAAGTACATACAGGACATCTGACCCTGACAACAAAACCTGTAAAGGTAGGTATATACAGGAAATCTGGCAACTGACAACCAAACCTGTAAAGGTAAGTACATACAGGACATCTGACCCTGACAACAAAACCTGTAAAGGTAGACACATACAGGAGATCTGGCACCTGACAACCAAACCTGTAAAGGTAAGTACATACAGGACATCTGACCCTGACAACAAAACCTGTAAAGGTAGACACATACAGGAGATCTGGCACCTGACAACCAAACCTGTAAAGGTAGACACATACAGGAGATCTGACCCTGACAACCAAACTTGTAAAGGTAAGAACATACAGGGGATCTGGCACCTGACAACCAAACCTGTAAAGGTAGGTACATACAGGAGATCTGACCCTGACAACCAAACCTGTAAAGGTAGGTACATACAGGAGCTCTGGCACCTGACAACAAAACCTGGAAAGGAAGGCACATACAGGAGATCTGACTCTGACAACCAAACCTGTAAAGGGAGGTACATACAGGAGATCTGGCACCTGACAACCAAACCTGTAAAGGTAAGTACATACAGGACATCTGACCCTGACAACAAAACCTGTAAAGGTAGGTACATACAGGAGATCTGGCACCTGACAACCAAACCTGGAAAGGTAGACACATACAGGAGATCTGACTCTGACAACCAAACCTGTAAAGGTAGGCACATACAGGAGATCTGACCCGACAACCATACCTGTAAAGGTAGGTACATACAGGAGATCTGACACCTGACAACAAAACCTGGAAAGGGAGAAACAAACAGGAGATCTGACCCGACAACCATACCTGTAAAGGTAGGTACATACAGGATATCTGGCAACGGACAACCAAACCTGTAAAGGTAAGTACATACAGGAGATCTGGCCCCTGACAACAAAACCTGGAAAGGTAGGTACATACAGGAGATCTGACTCTGACAACCAAACCTGGAAAGGTAGACACATACAGGAGATCTGACTCTGACAACCAAACCTGTGAAGGTAGGTACATACAGGAGATCTGACTCTGACAACCAAACCTGTGAAGGTAGGTACATACAGGAGATCTGACTCTGACAACAAAACCTGGAAAGGTAGACACATACAGGAGATCTGACCCGACAACCATACCTGTAAAGGTAGGTACATACAGGAGATCTGACCCTGACAACCAAACCTGTGAAGGTAGGTACATACAGGAGATCTGACCCTGACAACCAAACCTGTGAAGGTAGGTACATACAGGAGATCTGACCCCCAGCACTAAATATCATAAAACCCCATTGTGACAGTATTTACTATGTAAGTCTATGAAAAACTCCTGCACTCAATCATTATCAAGTTAACCTGTTTGGGTAGATATGTGTAACATGATATGTATCGTATCGTAATTTTTGGGTAGATATGGGTAACATGATATGTATCGGATCGTAATGTTTGGGTGGATATGTGTAACATGCTATGTATCGTATCGTCATGTTTGGGTAGATACGTGTAACATGATATGTATCGGATCGTAATGTTTGGGTAGCTATGTGTAACATGATATGTATCGGATCGTAATGTTTGGGGAGATTTGTGTAACATGATATGTATCTTATCGTAATGTTTGGGAAGATATGTATAACAAGATATGTATCGTATCGGAATGTTTGGGGAGATTTGTGTAACATGATATGTATCGTATCTTAATGTTTGGGTAGATATGTGTAACATGATATGTATCGTATCGTAATGTTTGCATATTTTTGCAGCCCTACATGCAGGTATGAAGTTATAATTGCTGAGATATTAACGTCTATTTGGACTGAGATAAAGCCATGGAAATCTTTTCAGCTCCTTCGGACTTCCTAATTGTGGCCTCGGAGAGCGAGATTATCACCTTGTCTCTGGATCCAGACATCCACTCGGCACCACTCCCACCTATCACGATGCTCAGCGGTGCTGTTGCTGTTGACTTTGATTACGCCAATAAATACATCTACTTCTCCCAGGTGCTTGGACGCAAACTGAGCCGAGTCAAGATTGACAGTTCTGAAGTAGAAGACATCATAGACACAATCAACATCACATGTAAGGTCAAGGTCTTTTGGTAAAAATGTAGGTCAAGGTCATTTTATTTTAATGTAGGATTTGACTTGTTATATCTGACAGTGAATCTAAAAAACATCAGTGTATATGAAGACTAGAATCAATAGATTATTGTTGATGTTCTAGTTCAACTGCTTTCTGAATCATTGTCATTCAGATGTTTGCAGTCTGACCTGACATACCATTATGACTAGGGCCCCTTCTGCATATCCAGTTCAATTGTTTCAAAGACAGCTTCAGATCTGAACAAGGCTGACCTGAAGAATATTTGGCACTTGTGTAACAATGGTCCAGACTTGTCTGACCGAAACTAAAATGCTGACATCTACTTCATGCTTGTTTACATTATTTCTGCATAAAACAAGGTGGATTAACATGTATATTTTAGGAAATGTTATAAAATATAGTGCACGCATAAAAGAATGACATATTGTTCTTGATAAAAATTGTTTTTAAGTTGTCAAAAACTATGTTCAATTTTAGATCTACTTGTAACTTCTGGCACAGTTCAGGTCCAGTTTTAGCTCTACTTGTAACTTCTAGCTGGCAAAGTTCAGGTCCAGTTTTAGCTCTACTCGTAACTTCTGGCACAGTTCAGGTCCAGTTTTAGCTCTACTTGTAACTTCTGGCACATTTCAGGTCCAGTTTTAGCTCTACTTGTAACTTCTGGCACAGTTCAGGTCCAGTTTTAGCTCTACTTGTAACTTCTGGCTAAGTTCAGGTCCAGTTTTAGCTCTACTTTTAACTTCTGGCACAGTTCAGGTCCAGTTTTAGCTCTACTTGTAACTTCTGGCACAGTTCAGGTCCAGTTTTAGCTCTACTCATAACTTCTGTCACAGTTCAGGTCCAGTTTTAGCTCTACTCGTAACTTCTGGCACAGTTCAGGTCCAGTTTTAGCTCTACATGTAACTTCTGGCACAGTTCAGGTCCAGTTTTAGCTCTACTTGTAACTTCTGGCACAGTTCAGGTCCAGTTTTAGCTCTACTTGTAACTTCTGGCACAGTTCAGGTCCAGTTTTAGCTCTACTTGTAACTTCTGGCACAGTTCAGGTCCAGTTTTAGCTCTACTTGTAACTTCTGGCACAGTTCAGGTCCAGTTTTAGCTCTACTTGTAACTTCTAGCTGGCACAGTTCAGGTCCAGTTTTAGCTCTACTTGTAACTTCTGGCACAGTTCAGGTCCAAGTGCGTTCGTTTATTGGGAATATTTCTGCGCCACCTAAACTGTTTCAATCTGATACGCAAAACCTACCTAGTATTTCAATATAACCAGAGTTGAGATGACTTAATGCTGACCATGGTCTGATCACCTTATAAATCTCCATTCCGAAAGAGTTCCACTCGAAGAAAATTGTTTTAAAAAAATAAGGACAGCAAATTCAGACTTCCATAAATTGATAAACGACACATTTCAAAGCTTAACACAAGTATTGACACGAGGGTAGATCTAAGTTTTCCAATTAATATTCATCTTATGGAACTAAGGTTTCCTCTACCTCTGCCAAAAAGTGTATCTATGTATTGAAAACTTTTTTATTCTGTATGCATAACTCTGTAGCTTTGGTAAATCACTTCTAAAAAACCCACCATACCTTGTAGAACTTTTATGTATAATAATGAAAGTTCTGAAGGTAAAAATGCAACAGGACTAGAGAAGGACTGAACTATAGACCTCCGATCTGTCGCTCTTACAAATTAAGCTACCTGGTCAGTGGTAGTATACTAGCCCAGTTGGCTACAGTTACAGTCGAACCTCATTATCTCGACCTCTTTGAACTCGAAGACCTCGTTTACTTCGAAGTATTTCTCCAGTCCAGGCCAAACCTCTTCTTTATCTTAGTAAATAAAACTCTGATAATTCGAACCCTGAAAAGTCATGCATTAAAGAGTTCCACAGTTAAAATCACAACCTAGCACAGGTTCACGGGTTCCTGTTTTTAAAGGAGCTAGTATGGCTTTGAAAGTCGATCGAGAGACTTCAGAACAATACGATAATTGATTACATTGAGTTGAGGAGGTGTCAGGTGTCATTTGGCTTTAATGAATCAATGTGTTACATGTACGATATAATGGTTTTGTGTGTGTTTTCATTTACAGAATCAACTACGCGTACGCTCCATTACAGTGATTTGTTTTAGACTTGCGCACTTTCATTTCCGCATTGTATAGTACGAGGTTTAAATGTAACACTTCAGAAGTAAAACTTAACAGACTTGCAAATACAAATGTAGACATGGAAATACTTTGCCAAGATCTAGACTAGCCAAAAACAACAATCTAATAACTAGGCCCGTCCATATTTAATAACGAATTCACAATATGGTCCAACCGTTTTGATCGCGTTAAACGAAAGTACGTTTTTCGGAAATAACTATTTTTGTAAGCGTGTTTATTGTAAAATAACATACCTGTATTTGTTATACTGATTACGTATATCATTCATCGATTGATTACAAGCATAGGCTATTAATAAAACCAACAACTGCTAGTGCTATGTCCAAACAGCAAATTTCATACCAAATTTATGAACCCGCATAACTTGAATACTTGGATAACTCGAAGTTTTTCCACGAACCCATCGACTTCAAAATAACAAGGTTCAACTGTATATCCAAAACAAAATTAAAGGTAGCTAGGTTACTCTTTATGCAAAAAACTAGAGTGGAGCTCTCCAGTTCTTTGCCTGCAGTCTGTAAGGGATATTAAAGGGAGACACCTCACACCAAACTATAACATTTCGTAGCTATGGCTTTTTATCCAATAGATGGACTCATTTCTTTCAGATTTACTGGGGTCCTGACCTTCGTTTGAGAATAAAATCTTAAATTTTTTTAATTTCTATGCTTAGAAAGAAAAACTGATGTGTAAAAAAGCGTATAACTTTATATTAAGTATTAGTAAGGAGTTTTGTGACTGGGATATATTTGTTAGTGGTAAGTTGTATAACTTTATATTAATTATTAGCCAGTTTTGTGACTGGGATATATTTGGTAGTGGTAAGTTGTATAACTTTATATTTAATATTAACAAGGAGTTTTGTGACTGGGATATATTTGTTAGTGGTAAGTTGTATAACTTTATATTAAGTATTAGTAAGGAGTTTTGTGACTGGGATATATTTGTTCGTGGTAAGTTGTATAACTTTATATTTATTGTTAGCGAGTTTTGTGACTGGGGTATATTTGTTGGTGGTAAGTTGTATAACTTTATATTTATTGTTAGCGAGTTTTGTGACTGGGGTATATTTGTTGGTGGTAAGTTGTATAACTTTATATTTATTATTAGCGAGTTTTGTGACTGGGATATATTTGTTGGTGGTAAGTTGTATAACTTTATATTTATTATTAGCAAGGAGTTTTGTGACTGGGATATATTTGTTAGTGGTAAGTTGTATAACTTTATATTTATTATTAGCGAGTTTTGTGACTGGGATATATTTGTTAGTGGTAAGTTGTATAACTTTATATTTATTATTAGCGAGTTTTGTGACTGGGATATATTTGTTAGTGGTAAGTTGTATAACTTTATATTAAGTATTAGTAAGGAGTGTTGTGACTGGGATATATTTGTTAGTGTATTTTGTATAACTTTATATTTAATATTAACAAGGAGTTTTGTGACTGGGATATATTTGTTAGTGCATTTTGTATAACTTTATATTTAATATTAACAAGGAGTTTTGTTACTGGGATATTTTTGTTAGTGGTAAGTTGCTCTGTTTTGGAGCGGACAGTAGTCTGTGACGATGGCGAGTCTGTAGTCAGTGACATATGTATCTACCGTAGAACAGAGACCGACTACAGGAGTTTCGTAATGTGCGATATATGTATACTTTGCAGCGTTTGAAAGCCTGCAGAAGACGGTGACGGCAGAGGGTCTGGCCGCTGACTGGGTCGGCCAGAAGATGTACTGGGCAGATGTCTTCCTTAGCCGCATCTTCAGCCTAGATTTTAACGCAACAAACAAAGTCGCTCTCGCCAATGTAGCCAACCCACGGGCAGTGGCTGTACATCCCTGTAAGGGGTGAGTTATCTCCCTTACAAAGTTAGAAGTTCAGAACTCTTATAACACAGCTAAAGTGGGATATCTCTTTCAATATTATTTTGGTGGCAAATAATCACTTACAGATATTCCCCTAGAAAATTATCAGCTCTGTTATCCCCATTTCTTAAAACTGTTTTAATTAGACAGATAATAAGTTAAATATAAAATAATATATATATAATAGTATGATTTTCATGTCATCATTTGTGGTGTTGTTAGGTATTTGTTCTGGACAGATTGGGGGCGTCTCCCTAAAATAGAGAGAGCTACGATGTCCGGAAATAACCGCAAGACAATTGTGTCGACGGACCTCGGCTGGCCGAATGGTCTGAGCATTGATTACGATGGGGACATGATCTACTGGGCAGATGCACTGCGTGACCGTATTGAACGGTCAAATCTCAATGGTCAATACCGTGAGGTCATTGTTCAGTCAACTGTCCATCCCTTCTCCATGACTGTCCATAAGCACTACATCTACTGGACTGACTGGACACTCCGTAAGGATTGAAATGATAAGCTACTTGATATTGAAACACTCTCGTCCCTCCTTAATATTTCCATATTTATAAAGAAATTTGTAAAATATGTAATGTCAATAGTTTAATGCTTAATTAATCCATGACACTTTCATTTGAAAAGGTAATTATATTTATAAACGTGTTGATGATGCTGTTTAATTTCAAAGGGAAATAACTCTAACATATAAACGCTAGGATTATTGAAGCTGTGTTGACTGCAATAAAGAAGCTGGATTTTCTTTCTCTCTTGTCTAGTACAGTACATTTCACTTAATATCACATTGCTTTATGTCATTTTTTGGTTATTATCATGTTTTCTTGATGCACTGTTTTTCCTGCTACATAATCTATGTAATTCAATTCTTTTATTATCACTTGTTTTCATGTCGATTTCGCTTATTGTCACTTTATTTTGGCCACTGTAACAAAAAATCATGGGTAAATGATAAAAAGAATCAATTGTTTATCCCCCCGAGATCTGGTGTCACACCTGGACGCGTTATGTAAACAACATCACGACCAAACAGTTAAGTCTGTAGAGAATGTGAGAATTACAGAGAAATAGCATTGTGATCTACTATCAACTTATAAACTAAATAAATGAGAAAGTCTGACCTGAGGTACGTATGACCAGGTATTGTATAGTCTGACCTGAGGTACGTATGACCAGGTATTGTATCCTTTTTATGACTTTTGATTTTACAAAAGAGTGAGATGTACTATTTTTGAAACCTGTGCATTGCACTACCCTTTCCCAACAATAACTTCTACAACTATAAACAGATTACAGTGAGCCTTGTCAACTCTTGCATAATTGCAATTACTATATCAGGTTTACATATGAATAGAATCTGTACATATCTGATTGGATTACAAGTAGTGTTATTCCACTTAATCAATGATTGGTTATTTTACCTCCAACTATGATAAATCCATGAAGATTTCCTGTGATCATGGTTTGACAACTTTCAAGTGTTATATAGATTTGGAGCAGACCTGTAAATTCATAAAACAAATAATTTCACTTCTAACTTTTACCATTCACTACATTCTATCAACATTTAGGTTTTTAAAGTGTATCCACCATGTTTTTAACCACATCGGTGAATGCTTATCATTTCCTTTTATTCTAGGATCAATCAATGATCAATCATCGATCTTTAGGGAAATAGTGATAATCAGGAATTTTATTGCTATTCCCAACACTAGTAACATGCACCGGTACTTGATCAATACTGATATTTGACCTGACCAGGCGTAATAACAAAATAAAAATACTTGTTTATTTACAAACCAGATGGAGTCTACCGCGCAGAGAAACACACTGGGGCGAACATGATCGTGATGAAAGAGGGTATCACTCATCGACCAATGGGCATCAATGTCTTCTCAAATCAGCGGCAGAAATGTACGTCGTCATGGTAACGTAACTGTAGGGTTTGTACTCACCACTGTGAATGATGTCGGACCTGTTAGGAAGCACATACACCACCTGCAGTATTGTTTCAAAATATTTACATTCTCTATGCTAGGACCCATTGACGAAAATGACATTCATTTCTGCATAACACAGGTGACCTCATAACTGCGTATTGATACACTAAAATGACGTAGCACAGGGCGTACATGGTTCATGTCCGCCGTGAAACAACCTCGATGTAGATTTGTTATGCTAATATGAACTAACATAAAACATGATTGGCTAGATTTTGAATCTGAAATAAATTGTGTAAAGTATATAATGATAATATACAACTTATATAAATTCTACAAATTAAAGTTTGAAAATGGAACTATATTTTATTTGTTAAGTTGTCATGTTGTTGCTAGGACCCCAGTGAAAGTTTTACATTTTCCAGCGAAAACATGCTGTTCTCTTACTGCGTGCATGTAAAAATAGAAAAAAAAAATACTTGCATCGGAAAATTCAAATCACTTAGAAATGTAAATATAAGTAATGAAATTTATTTTTTCAATATTCATGAGGTCATAATAACATTGGCTTTCTGGACATATCCATGAATCGCGTCGCATGGGCAATTCATGGAATATGTCTAGAAAGCCAATGTTGTTATGACCTCATGAATCTTGAAAAAATAAATTTCATTACTTATATTTACATTTCTAAGTGCTTTGAATTTTCAGATGCAAGTATTTTTTTGCATCTGATCACATCTGATCGGGGAATTGAACCCCGGCATCCTTAGTGATAGGCAAGAAGGTATCCGCTGCGCCACCCGACCATGTAGTATTATTTCGTACATGTTCACAGGTACATCCAATCCGTGTCAGATCTTCAATGGTGGGTGTGCCCACAGTTGCCACCCCGCCCCAGAAGGCAAGGCAGAATGTCAGTGCAGCGACATTGGTTTGACCTTGGGACAAGATGGCAAGTCATGTGTTCCTCTGAATCACACGTGTGGGACAGAGAACTTCGTGTGTGCTAACGGTCGCTGTCTCAGCCATCGTTGGGTGTGTGACTCCGACGAAGATTGTAAGGACGGATCTGATGAAAACCCAAACATGTGTGGTAAGTTCAACTGTAGACATTTAAAAGTATGAAATCTCTAAAAAAATAATTTCATTCCTTGATTTAAACTGGAGTACTCCAAGAAAATGCATCTTTACAATAAAATTCTCCATTGGACATAAACAGGAGATGGGTTTACGTGTTTGAGGACATTTACATAGGACATACTTGTTAAATTGCAACCTTTAAAAAAACATTATGTGGGAATAATTGCAGGTCAAATTCTAAAGGTGTTTCCAAATTATAAGAACGTGGTCTTTTTGTACATCTTTATTAAGATCAACAATGAACACAGTCTGAAAATACATAAATGAGAAATACTCAGATATTTACCAAACAATGTATTGTTCCGATGATTAACATAATTAACATTGGAAACGAGACAAAAGAATAATTGACACAGTACATTAATGAACAATAAGTAAATGTAGTCAATGTAGTAACATAATAACTGAGTATCAATGATTACTTACAATAATATGCCTTAAACAGGCTAATGTTAGTGTTTCCTCAAATGACTCCATTTGTATTACAAATGGAGAGTTTCCATCCAAGGGGAGTAACTCTGAAATGCCTCGACTATAAAGGGAAGTAATTATGTAATTAATATTGTCAATAAACAATAATCATGTACAAATAACTTACAATAAACCCTATTTAACAAGTTATAGCATTAAAAGTAAAGTTTGAAATAAAAATTTAAAATATGATTGAATTTGAGTAAATAGCTAAATTAAGGGAATTCTGCAAATATCAAAAGCCAAAAGTCAGGCTAAGGAATTGAGTCTCCATACCAAAATAAAAATAGAAAAATAAAAATGTTTGCAATAGAAATTTAGTCCCCAAATGGAGAAGGGAAAGAACTGAGAACTCTTGTTTTTTGTTTAACTCATTCACCCCTACATATCTTAACTGGACTGGCCCAGTCTTTGATTTGGTAAGATTCAAATGGGAATTTAGGGGTGGATGGGTTCAACCACAGTGTGGTTTATTTCAAATAAATGATCAGCCCACAGGAGATAATTCTAAGTTGTTGTATCCCGACGGGAGTTATGTACTGGTATAACCATTTATTGATGTAAGTTACTTTAAACCCTCTCTCTTTACATTACAGCGACCCACACTTGTGATCCGACCTATTTCCGATGTGACAACGGTAGATGTATCCCACCACGCTATAGGTGTGACCATGACAACGATTGCCAAGACAACTCGGATGAACGTGAATGTGGTACGGTCAAAGTTTCTAAAACTCAAGTTGATGATGTTACCCAGAAAATATTGTTTGTAATGAATATGTATTCAGAAGTACAGCATGTTACTTGAAGAATTTATATTTAACTTATGTTAAATCTAATTTAACGATGTATAACAGCATGTCTGTCACCCCTACCTGAAATTGTAAAAGTGCTTTTACTTTTCTTGATTTAAACACGTGTTGGTTTATATAGAATACATTTTTGAATTAATTTACAAATATCATTTGATGTCAACCAGGCACTGATTGATACTGTTTATGTAGAAAGTATTTAAATCCATTATTTACACCAATTACAATCGCAGTGTCCGTAACTGAATTCTGATGGTTTAACTTAGTGACTTGTGAGGTGGTACTTGTGTCGTTTTTAATGCCACGTTAATTTCTTTTTCACACATTAACATTAAACCATGTAAGAACTTCCAGATCCCCCTGTTATAGGTCAAATAGTTCAAAAATGGGGATCAGGAAACCAATTAAAATGATGGTGCTTGTGTAAAACACTCTGTGTATTGTAGATTACAAGCCCTGCCTATTACACTCTGTTTGTTGTAGACTACAAGCCCCATCTATTACACTCTGTTTATTGTAGACTACACGCCCTGTCTATTACACTCTGTTTATTGTAGACTACAAGCCCTGTGGCAGTGACCAGTTTACCTGTAGTAATTCTCGATGTATCAACAAAAACTTAGTATGTAATGGAATTGACAACTGTCGTGATGGCAACCGCACAGACGAGGCTAACTGTCGTGAGTAATTTAGTCAGCCAATCAAATGCAATTTCAAGAAATGATGTCATGCTAGATCACCTTCTATTTTTATGCTGGTGGGAATAGTTTTTTCACTCATTTAAACATATTTTATTGATCAATAATTATAACAATCAAAGGGATTGGGCACAACTTCTTACAACTTACTAGGCCCTCTCCCTAATATTTTGATAAAAACCACATTTTGACTAATGCAGGTTTACTTTGTAATTAATGAGTTAAACACCAAACATTGTTTCTCCATTAAACTGTTAAAAAGGAAGTGACTAAATCATCTATCGTGTATAATTTCTCATTAACAGCGGAGAAGACGTGTGCATCCGGAGAGACAAAGTGTCCGAACAGTAACGTGTGTCTGGCGCGGAAATACCTGTGTGACGGAGATAATGACTGTGGCGACAACTCGGATGAAAACCCTCTCTTCTGTCGCAAGGTCACGTGTCCTCGGGGTTTGTTTGCTTTTTTCCAGGTTTTTGTCTGTCCAATTAATATATTTGCCGCTAATGCAAGCACTATTTTTTTGTGAAATGTCATATTTCATTTTGCTCACTATTTTAGTACACCAAGCCCAGAGGGTGGGCAGTGCTGTAATTCTCTAACAATTTCACCAGGTACAAAATGTACATCATTTCTGTATCAGGAATCAGATCTATTTTAGTTCGTTAAAGCCAGACCCCTGGGGTCCTTCAAGTGAGCTACACCAAGGGGTCAAAGTTTACATAGTTTTATTTTACAGATAATCAAATAAATCCTTTCTACTCCTGTAAGTCAGATAGATAGATATATATACATGTATATAGGTATGCCTGTGTGTGTGCTGTAGATGTATTGTGTTCTGTTTGTAGTGGGACCATGCTTCCAACAGTATCATTTTTGTAGTGGGACCATGCTTCCAACAGTATCATTTATAGTGCCACCTCACTTGAATACCACATTACAGATACAGCAACATCTACCCTAGACCAATTTATACTCCACCTGGGTTGTTGGAGTTGTGTGGGCAGGAGAAAACACTTTCTCTGAATATTCCATACATACGACGACTGTTGATATGACAACATACAATGTAATCTCTCAAGTGTGTCACTGTTGTGTTTAGGTCGGTTCAACTGTACAGTCACTCAAGTGTGTCACTGTTGTGTTTTGGGTCGGTTCAACTGTACAAAGTCACTCAAGTGTGTCACTGTTGTGTTTTAGGTCAGTTCTACTGTACAAAGTCACTCAAGTGTATCCCCGGATCGTGGTACTGTGACGGAGATGACGACTGTGGAGCGGGTGAAGATGAACCCTCCACTTGTGGTAAGTAAGGGTAAAGGTCAAATGTATGCAGGGGTCAAAGTTGTGTGCCAATTTTTAGTGATCTTTTTCTTTATCACTCAAATTAAGTGTTTAGTGTTTCGTTACAGCCAACAACAGCTCCACCTGTATCGGGACACAGTTTGCGTGTAACAACAAGAAGTGTATCTCGCGGCGATGGGTGTGTGATGGCGATGACGACTGTGGAGATAATAGTGACGAGGAGAAAGGACTCAACTGTGGTAGGTTAATTATTGGTCAGAAACAAACGTTACACCTTAAATATACCCATGCTTCAACCCCTTATACCCATGCTTCAACCCCTTATACCCATGCTTTCAACCCCTTATACCCATGCTTTCAACCCCTTATACCCATGCTTCAACCCCTTATATGTTGTTTAAAGGTCACCTCGCCCATTGGGCCTCTTGTGTATGTAGAACTATGCAACTTGGTGTGTTATTAGATGTACGTGATGTGAATTGTCACCAAATTAAGTACCGGGTAGGTCAATGCTACCTATGTTTTAACTGCAGATCACAAATAAGAAAAGAAATAGAGGATATTTAATGGCGTCTTCAGTAATAACAAATATATTTCACTCGAGTGAAAAATATAAAAAAATTAGCCACACGAGTGAAATATATTTGTTATTACTGAAGACACCATTAAATTTTCTATTTATTGAATTTTTAAAGCATAAAACATGAAAAATGTAATGCATTAAAAAAGGGCGGGAATCAGAAGCGTAATAATTAGCGCCATATTCGAATGACGTCACGGTTGACAACAAGGCTGCGCTCCATTTTGAATGGGATACTCAACGCAATTCCGACATTTTCTGCTATTTTCTGGTATGATTGCTTATACAAACGTTATCAATTGTATATTTATGTAAATACTTAAGTGTGTGTACCAAACATTTACCATAACAACCACTTATTCTTTCGTCGCATCATTTGAATCTGAACAAAAGATCGTTGCCTTTGAATGCAGCGAAAAGAAGATACCGTTATAATTGGTCAATACAAAAAAATATATTTTTACACTGTGAAAATATCACTTTTGATATTAAATTGTCACAGTGTGAAAAATATCAGTTTTATCAAGTTGATAGAATCCGATAATATTAATATTAAGCAATTAACCTTTGAACAAAGAAATAATTAATTTCAATAAAATTACAAAAGATTGGAATAATTTTCTCTGGTTTTATATCGTATTCAATGAATATTTAATTTCGATGTTATGCTATATTAAAAGTTAACTCCAACCTGCAATGTCAGTTGTATAATCTGATGTTATATGTTGTAATCAGTAATTGATATGTTTCCGTTTTATTGTGTAGTTGATGTCAACTGTCCAGTCGATTCCTTCACATGTGCGTCAAACAAGAAGCGTGGACGCTACGCCTGTATTGACCGACGTTATGTGTGCGATGGCGTCAAGAACTGTCTCAATGGTGAAGATGAAACAGGAAACTGTGCCCTAGTCACGTGCCAACCGGGCCAGTTTAAGTGTGCCAACGGCATCTGCATAGCGCAGCGGTTTTACTGTGATCACGATAACGATTGTGGTGACGACTCGGATGAACCAAAGACTTGTGGTAAAGTCAATCAGCTTTTTACTTGTTTATATATAGAGTGTTAATTTCAGATTTTATCAGCCCTAGTCATTTGTGAGGGGCAATGTCCTTAAAAGACCTACACTGAACAGCTGAATGGATTTTGACCCAATTTGGAGTTGAGCATTCATGTCTGAGGAGATTAAGTTGAAACAAAGGATGTGGCCCACTTAGGGCAGAGGGGCATATGTGTCCAATAGGAAATGTCCCCCCCCCCCCCTCCCCTCCCACAACCACCCCTACCACCTCCCCAACCCACACCACGCCAGGGTCCAATAAGGAAAAAATTGGGGTGAATATTTAAAATCCACCTTTCTTTCAGTACGGTAGAAGGAATTTTAATGGTATTCAAGATCCCTGGATTAAGTATTCTTCACTGACTTTGAAATAGGTGTTGCTCCTCTCTAGCCTTCAGGTGTTTTTTCCCCGAGACCAATCATATACCCTGCCATGTGCCTTGAATTTTGCTATGACATATTCCAGGGGTGCAGAGAGCATAAGTGAGAAAATCCCCTAGATTAAAGCAATAAGGGTAATTCTTTATAAGTGTTCATTTCTACACTTCTGCCTACTCTCAGCTTGTATTTACTTTGCTCTGTTGATACCCATGTATCATATTGAACGTACTTGGTAACATACGTAGAGAGTAGGTGAACCAACATTGACACGTAACATCATGTTGAAAGGAAGTAAATGCTGCATAATTATTCTTGAAGAAATTTGATTTAATGATGTAATAACTTTACATTAATGGATCTTTAAATATTAATCTCCTGTTTCAAAATTATCCCCCTCCCCCTAATAACTAGCAGGAACAGAAAAGTGAAGAGTTTATGAACCACAAGCTAGGTTTCCATGAAGTGTATTTTTCTTAAATCTTACTTACCAGTAGTCTGTGTAGTGTAACCAGACTGGGTCCATCATTGGGGACCAGGTAGCTCAATTGGTAGAGCGTAGGTCTAGAGTTTGGAGGGTCACAGGTTCAAATCCTGTTCTGGCAGTTCCATTTCTTTGCTTCTGTTACTAGTGATGGGCAATCAGTTTAAAATCATAATCAGTTTGTAATAGGTAGTAGTAAACCAATTGATTATCATTTGCATAATCAGTATATAATTTTATTGGACTGAATACCAAAATATTGGGAAAACACTACCATAACATAGACAGAATTGTTAACTATACACTAGGTTTCGTTCTTTATTTGTGTGATTAATGGAATTTTAGCAACTTATACTCAGTTTCATCAATCATATAGTAAACATTTTAAGAATAAAAGACTTCACATTGTATAAATTTTACACTTAAATTTCAATAATGAAATTATTATATCGATTATGGCATTAGTAATCAATAATCGGAATTGAAAAAAGCAAACTGGTCAATTTTCGCTTATATTCGACCATCAGCCCATCACTTCCTGTTACAACTGTAATATATGTTCTCAAATTACGTGTAATTATATCACGCAAGAACTTATTTTGAGTCCTCTTTTTATGCGACAGATTATCCGGAGTGTGGTGCTGGCAAATTTACTTGCTCAGACAAGCGTTGCATCCCCCAGTCTTACGTGTGTGACGGTGCCAAGGACTGCTCTGATGGCTCCGACGAAAAGGCGGCGCGCTGTGGTTTGTATCATTTCTTTTTCTCTGAGTAGATAATTTTGTTATCCTAGGTACCTAACATTACCATCTTTAAAAACAGGAACCTGATAACAGACAGTAAAATGTGAGGAAGTGAAATGTATGGTTTATTATGTTTTAAGCGATTATCTTGGTGTACTAGGTTATAAAATCAATGATGCGGACCTCAGATACACCTGGGGTTTAGTCCCTGTAATTGAAAAGAGTTGAGATCAACACAGTTGAACACAACACAATGAAACAGTGTAATTAAGAGACCAACAGAGAGATTAGTTTTCAAGCAATTCACAAAATATTAAAATATGGCAAAGTAAAAAAAATCATAGTTGTCTTGACAATGATCCCATTATAGGTTATATACCCCTGTATACCGGCGCCTCTCACATACCTGACATCATGATATATAGTGACAGGTGTTTTTTTCTATATAAAACCAACCTGTCTGTTAGGACCATTGAGTCCAGGTTTGTTTGTTTGTGTGGTTTTTAGCTCACCTGGCCCGATCACCTGGTCTGAAGGGGCAAAGGGGCGCTCAATTTTGTAACCTACTTCTTCTGTACCATTGGAGGGATTTTATCCAAATTTGGCCTGGAGTGTCCTTGGGCAACGGGGACTAAATTTTGTATAAACAGAGGGTGTGGCCCCTCTGGATGCAGAGCCACAGGGTCCAATAGGGGAATTTGAGGTTCAAATATTTAAAATTCTTCTTCTTATGTACAGAGGGATTTTAACCAAAGGACTATATATAGTTTGGGCCATTTTTGGCCCTCAAATCCATCAAAATTAAAAATCTTCAATAGAACTTTCATATGACTGTTTATTTAATTTTGAATACTTCCCCCGTACTAATATGTAAACATTTATTTGTGTATTCAATTATGTCTGCCATGGTAACTAGTTAATATTTGCATAAATTTATGAAATTTGAATATTCAGTCAATTTTGACAGGTTTTCACCTAGTTTTTCTCTTAGCTACCATAGAGCACACTCTGGAACAAACTTTATATTTTTCCTAAAGGTTACAGGTTTACTACACATTATCCTTTACTGATCTGATCCTTCCTTTCTAGCTGCTGCCACAGAGAAGCCTAAGTGCCCCGATGGCCAGTTTAAATGTGCCAACGCCAACTGTATCGACTACCAACTTGTGTGTAACAAGGTAGACAACTGTGGAGATGAGTCGGACGAGGACAGGTGCTGTAAGTGACACTGTATTCACTGTTAAAATTCACTATCTCATGTACATAATGCAATGATGTCACTTCAACAAAGCAGTAACTCTGATCAATCATGTGATTATTGTTTTCATTTCATGAAATTTTCACTTGTACTTGATGTGCGAGAAACAAAATTCCCCATTTTAGGAACAAGACAGGAAAATCTCAAATTTCAAGATTTCCTTGTCTCACCCTAGGGTTGAGACGGGGGGATTCCCCTATTCATAACAATGGTATGACGTCACTTCAACAATATAATGACGTCACGTCAACAATCCATCAACGTCACGTCAACCCTGAATTTAGCATGTAACGTTATCATTAAATTGTGTCTATGATACACAATGGGAAACAGGGTAAGAGAAAAAGAATCATTCACCCCTTTGTGGGTAAGATAGAGGAATCTCAACCCTCGGCCAAAGCCTCGTGTTTGGCAACATAAGAATCTTCCCCCTCGGGTTGAGATCCCCCTATCTCACCCTCAGGGGGGTGAAAGATTCTATTAATCCCACCCCTAAGACAGATATTTGCAAGTCAGGTACACCATATGTCTTGGTATAAATCATGTTCAAATGTTTCTGAGCCAAATGATCCAGTTCTGTTTATAACACGAATTCCCTCAGATTACCACAATGCTATATTTTTTTCATGTTGTCGTAGGTGTTAGGAATCTGACTTAATCCTTAATGCCTTAATAATGAACGTTGACCTTTGGCTTCAAGATGTGGTTTACATAATATAATATATATATGTATGTATGACATTGACATTTACTAGATGTGTGATGTTAAGTTTCATATATGACCTTGACCTTGGTACCTGACATTGAAATTCAATGTATGATTTGCATGTCAAGTCTTGTCATTGAATTTGATATATGACCTTGATGGTGTATGACCTTGACCTTCAGACATTGACGAATGCAGTCAGGATGACATGAACCAGTGTGAACAGAAATGTGTCGACTCCATCACCAGCTTCAGATGTGACTGTTTCCCTGGTTACACCCTAAGGAACGACAAGATCTCCTGTCGAGGTAACATATGATGTCAGAACTTATTGGTGGTCTGTAGTTTACCTCAAGTACCTAGAAATAATCGTTAATAGATAGGTTTTCTCTCACTTGAAAGATAATCTCTAAACAGCAGATCTTCAATATATTTGATGTTCTTAATATTGCACTTCCCTAGGTTATACTGAATGGCCTCTAAGCATCTGTTTGTATCAAATGCAAAGAATTGTATGTTAAATTATCTGTATTTAATATTATTTGATACAATTGTTTTTGATAGAAAGATAAAAATAATTAGAGTCAGTATTTTGTGTAGTCCTAACATTTCTTAAGGAGATAAATTTAAGAAAGTTAAGTGAATATTCCCTTTGTTCTTGATAAATGATCAGTTGCTTCCCTTTATTCCTAATGAAAATGTAGATTTGCCTCCCTTTATTCCTGATGAGAATGTAAAGTGGCTTCCCTTTGTTCCTGATGAATAAAGATATGCTTCCTTTTTATCTGATGAGTGTAGAGTTGCTTTCCTTTGTTCCTGATGAATGTAGAGTTGCTTCCCCTTGTTCCACTGATGAATGTAGAGTTGCTTCCCTTTTTTCAAGATGAATATAGAGAAGTTTCCCTTTGTAACTGATGAATGTAGAATGCATGTTCTTTGATTCATTTTAGATATTGATGAATGTAAAGAGGTGCCAGGGGCCTGTAGCCAAGGATGTTTGAACTCACCTGGAAATTACACCTGTAAATGTAACGAGGGATACTCCAAGACAGGAAACATGCGGTTCTGTAAGAAAACCGACAGTGAGTACAGATGGAGGGACAGACTTCTTCATGACTTAACCCTTTTAACACTGTAAACCATAATGGACTCATCCATATCCATGCATGGTAGAGTCTACTAAAGTTACATAGGGGTGAAAGAGTTAAGTATCGAAATTTCAGATGTTTTCAATTAGTGTAGTTTCAATTAAAGAACACTGACAGTTATGTAAAAAATAAAAAGTAAGACCTTGCGAGCTGCCTTTTTTGTCATTGAGATATTTTAAACTATGAGGCAGGACTGTAGTAAAATATGTATCTTTTTGTCCGTATACACCATTGATTGAGTGTGTATATTGATTATTAGAATTATATTGTGCTTTCAAATAGTATTTAAAAAAGAAAAACATCGTTTTCTCTTGTTCTTGAAAGCCAATGAAATATAAAATATAAAAAAGTAATTTCAACAATTAATGTTTGAAATCATGTATCATAGTTGAGACAGTATGTATGCGTTAATAGTTTGCTTAATTTGTTAAGAAATTTGGTTCAACTGTTTTGTTGTCAGACACCAAGCCGTGGTTAATCTTCACAAACAAGTATTACATCCGGGAACTATCTATTGACGGCAAGCACTACCGTCGTGTGGCCCAGGGCTTCGACAGCGTGGTAGGGCTGGACTTCGACTACGCTGAGGATCGCCTCTACTTCACAGATGTCAAGGCAAAGAAGATGTACCGCATGTACCTCAACGGAACTGGCAAAGAGGCTATCATAAAGCATGACATCACAGGGGCCGAAGGCATGGCGCTTGATTGGATTGCAAAGTATGGGCACTAAAATATTTTAGCAATTCCAAGGAAAAAAACCTTGGAAAGTCATATCACTGTATATATTATATGCAGTAAAGGTTTCAAGGATTACAGCCATTTTTAAAGATTACTGAATCTTGAGTGAAATTTATCTTTTAGCAGATGGTTTGCTCACTCAGTTCCAGCCAAAGTTCATCATATAGAATAGATTGTCCAATATAATCACATTATCACCACAACAGAAGGATTATCATATTTAATTTTTAATTGGACCAGTTTTATTGATGACCGATGGTAATTAGAGATGTAACAGATGATGTCACAATACTTTTTGCAGGAAGATTTATTGGGTGGACAGTAAGCGATCATCGATGTTTGTCACAGAGACTAACGGCACCAATCGCCTGGCACTGATTCGTCGTGGCTTTGTGAAGAGTCCGAGGGCTATTGTGGTTGATCCGGCTAATGGGTAGGTTACTGTCACTTTATCATTATTGTTATACCCTCACGACAGGTTGTTGAGGGTACATAGGCATCTAGATGTACATTTGTAAGTACATATGTAAGTGCCACTAAAGGCGTTACCATTCTACAGACTTCATTCCTTGTCCAATTGTCATTCAACTTCACATACATGTTTACAAACATCACCTCTTGTCAAAAATAAGGTCACTGTTACTATAAATAAAATCTAATAGAATTTCTGTTGACACCTTTCTACAGCCTTCATTTCTTTTCCAATTACGACGAAACTTAACACTCATGTTCACAACCATCACCTCGTGTGTGTTTGGGTTTTGACCATCTGCGGTCAAAAATTAGGTAAAAAATAAGTTCTAACATCAGCTAAGTACAGAATTTATCAAGAAAGTCTTGTACATATTGTAAATTAGTAGATAATATGATAAAACTTGTATACCTACTCTACATCCCTTACTGAAGGTCTGGCGTGAACTTGTTTACCTCCAATATTCTCAAGCTGTTTTCTCAGTATATTGTTGTACCAAAACATTTTTTGCTGCAGTTTAGCTTTTGCCATTTATCATTGATCATGACAATGAATATTAGTACCCAAAATACAGCAGAGTGAATAATAGCACCCAGTATACAATACAGTGAATAATAGCACCCAGTATACAACACAGTGAAATAGCACCCAGTATACAACACAGTGAATAAATAGCACCCAGTATACAACACAGTGAATATTAGTACCCAGTATACACCACAGTGAATATTAGTACCCAGTATTCAACAGAGTGAATAATAGTACCCAGTACACAACACAGTGAATAATAGTAACCAGTATACAACACAGTGAATATTATTACCCAGTATACAACACAGTGAATAATAGTACCCAGTATACAACAAAGTGAATATTAGTTCCCAGTATACAACACAGTGAATATTAGTACCCAGTATACAACACAGTAAAAAATAGTACCCAGTATACAACACCGTGAATAATAGCACCCAGTATACAACACAGAGAATAATAGCACCCAGTATACAACACAGTGAACAATATTACCCAGTATACAACACAGTGAATATCAGTACCCAGTATACAACACAGTGAAAAATAGTACCCAGTATATAACACAGTGAATAATATTACCCAGTACACAACACAGTGAATAATAGCACCCAGAATACAACACAGTGAATAATAGTACCCAGTACACAACACAGTGAATAATAGTACCCAGTACACAACACAGTGAATAATAGCACCCAGAATACAACACAGTGAATAATATTACCCAGCATACAACACAGTGAATAATAGCACCGAGTATACAACACAGTGAACAATATTACCCAGTATACAACACAGTGAATATTAGTGCCCAGTATACAACACAGTGAATAATATTACCCAGTATACAACACAGCGAATACTAGTACCCAGTATACAACACAGTGACTAATATTACCCAGTATACAACACAGTGAATATTAGCACCCAGTATACAACACAGTGAGTAATAGCACCCAGTATACAACACAGAGAATAATATTACCCAGTATACAACACAGTGAATAATAGTACCCAGTATACAACACAGTGAAAAATAGTACCCAGTATACAACACAGTGAATAATAGTACCCAGTATTCAATAGGAAAACATTGCATGTAAATGCATTTTTCCCTGAACAATCTGTTTCCAATAACCTCAGTGTCATTCTCCAAAAACAGGGTTTATTTCCAATACCTGCTTATTATTCATCATTTTCTACAAGCAATATGTATATATGTTTACATCAATGTTACCACATAGCTTCATCATGTGACCTTTGTGTTGCTATAGTTACGCATACTGGACAGACTGGAGTCTCTCTCCCTACATTGGCTGTATCGGGATGGATGGCTCAAACGCACGTAAAGTCATCACCAACAAACTTGGCTGGCCGAATGCTCTCACGATTGACTATGAGACGTCGCACCTGTGGTGGGGCGACGCCCATCTCGACTACATTGAGTAAGTGGGAAATATTGGAGTAGATTTCCAAATTTGTGTATGCGTTCATACATGTGGGTATGTGTGTGTTTAACTCATTCACCCCTGAAATTTTATAATGAACTATTCCAACCTTTGAATTGGAAGAGTTTAAATGTGTTTTCAGGGGTGAATGAGTTAACATAATAACCATTGATTATGATTGTGAACAAAATTGATAAAAATGACAATAAACGTATCTATACATTGTATCTTGAGTTGTAATCTGTAAAACTGTTTATAAAACAACAGGATCCACTATGTAGACCTAGATTGACGTTGTGACTTTAAACCTCGAGATAAATTTAGCTTCCTTCATAGGAAATTAAAATCAAATATCCTGTAAGTAATACCCCTTGTTATTGCTGTCAGGCTACTATACTTGTGAATGAGTGAGTTTAATCTTAAAGTGACTGTTTTGGACTTGCTGATCCTGACCTATTTATGATCTTGAGGTTGCTGACCAGTGCTACTGTTGTAGGTCCGCCAGAGTGGATGGCACTGACCGCAACATCGTGATGCAAGCCACTGTGCCACACCCCTTCGCGATCACAGTGTTTGAGGACTGGATGTACTGGACCGACTGGAATCACATGTCTATTGAGAAGGCCAACAAGTTTACGGGAGCAAACCACACGTGGCTTCAGAACACAACACACCGCCCAATGGACATGCACATCTACCATCCACTCCGGCAGAAGGAAGGTAGAGTTAGCTCCCTTAGTTCACAACACAGTCCAATAGACATGTTAAATCAGGTAGATAGAAGGTAGGGTTAGCTTCCTTAGATCACATCTACCATCCACTCCGGCAGAAAGAAGGTAGGGTTAGCTCCCTTAGATCACATCTACCATCCACTCCGGCAGAAAGAAGGTAGGGTTAGCTCCCTTAGATCACATCTACCATCCACTCCGGCAGAAATAAGGTAGGGTTAGCTCCCTTAGATCACAACACACCGTCCAATGGACATGAACAGTAAGGCAGAAAGAAGGTAGGGTTAGCTCCCTTAGATCACATCACCATCCAATGGACATGTTCACTCAGGCAGAAAGAAGGTAGGGTTAGCTCCCTTAGATCACAATACCGTCCAATTGACATGTTCACTCAGGCAGAAAGAGGTAGGGTTAGCTACCTTAGATAACATCACCATCCAATGGACATGTTCACTCAGGCAGAAAGAAGGTAGGGTTAGCTCCCTTAGATCACATCACCATCCAATAGACATGTTTACTCAGGCAGGAAGAAGGTAGGGTTAGCTCCCATAGGTCTGGGACAGTGGCTGTCAAGCAGTTAAGGCGTCTGACACTCTGCTACCAGTAGCCCTTCACCACTGGGTCGCGGGTACAAGACTTAGGTGGGGCAGTCACCAGGTACTGGCTGTAGGTCAGTGGTTTTTCTCTGGGAACTCCAGCTTTCCTCCACCACCAAAACCTGGCACATCCTCAAATGACCATAGCTGTTTATAGGATGTAAAACACAAATAAAACAAAACCCATAGATCACAACACCATCTAATGGACATGCGCAGGCCTACAACCCATTCAGGCAGAAAGAAGGTAGGGTTAGCTCCCTTTGATTTTACTCGACATGCACCCGTTTTTTACAAACAGATATTATGTCCTAACCTACTAGGTTGTACCCTGTTTTATTTGCGCTTTAGCTGAAGGGAGGTGGTTATTATAAAACCCTCTTTCCCCCCTCCCCAATCTGCTTAGCACTACTAGCACAGCAGTCATCATCATAGTCACACTTAAGTTGCTGTATTTTTCTTGACAAATTTGGTAGAACTAAAAAGTATCTTTGCCTTAGACATGACATTGAACAAGTGAGAATAGGAGCATAATTTGTCCAGATCAAAGTCTTTGTTACTAAAAATGTCATTTTAACCTTCACCCTCATCGTCATTACTCAAACAGTCCTATTTCTTGACAGAAATGTCAAATGCATGTTTGCCTTGGACAAGTTAAGTATCAGTGTCATAGGTAAAGGGTCAAGGTCACTGTTACTAAATATATATGAACCTTGTTCTCTTTCTCCATTATAATTTACTCCCTTGACCTTAGGTGAAGGATCGTAAAGTTATATGATTAACTTTCCTTGACTGTATCAAGTATGTATAAGCTATAATTGTAGTAAGAAATCCAGAAGTGTCATTTCCTGTACAAAGTGTATTATAGACTGTTTTATAAGAAAGAAGGGTTATTGTGGGTTATTATTCCCGGCTCCTCTGGTACAACGTTTATTTTCTCCCTTCTAGGTGCAAATCCATGCGGAACAAACAATGGCGAGTGTTCCCATCTTTGTCTCATTGCCCCTGGAGGTCGTGCATTTTCCTGCAAGTGTCCCGATAACTTCCTGATGGCCCCAGACCAGCAAACCTGTATTGCCAACTGTACTAGTGGTCAGTTTCGGTGTGGCATATCTGATGACCGCTGTATCCCTTCTCTGTGGAAGTGTGATGGAGAGGAAGACTGCAAAGATGGATCAGATGAACCAGAGGATTGTCGTAAGTCTGATGTCACTGTCTTAGGTCTGTTGTCACTGTCTTAGGTCTGTTGTCACTGTCTAAGGTCTGATGTCACTGTCTTAAGTCTGATGTCACTGTCATAGTCTGATGTCACTGTTGTAAGTCTGATGTCACTGTTGTAAGTCTATCATGAGTCAGATATCACTGTCGTAAGTCAGATGTCACTGTTGTAAGTCTGATGTCACGGCCCTGAGTCTGATGTCACTGTCTTAAGTCTGATATCAATGTCATAGTCTGATGTCACTGCCCTAAGTCTGATGTCACTGTTGTAAGTCTGATGTCACTGTTGTAAGTCTGATGTCACTGTCTTAGGTCTGTAAGTTCACCGTCAAAAGTGTGATGTCAATGATATAGGTCTGTTGTCACTGTCGTCGTCTGTTGTCACTAGCGAATGTATGTGATGTCACTGTTGAAATTATGTGAGGTCACTGTCATAGTCTGATGTCACTGTCATAGTCTGATGTCACTGTAAGAGGTCTGTGTTGTCAATGTCATCGTCTGATGTCACTGTCATAAGTCTGATGTCGATGTTGTAAGTCTGATATCACTGTCGTTAGTTTGTCCTAAGTCTGTTGTCACTGTCGTAAATCTGTCGTAAGTCTGATGTCACTGTTGTGAATTTGCTGTAAGTCTGATGTCACTGTCGTAAGTCTGTTGTAAATCTGTCCTAAGTCTGTCGTAAGTCTGCTGTCACTGTCGTAAATCTGTCGTAAGTCTGATGTCACTGTTGTGAGTTTGCCGTTAGTCTGATGTCACTATTGTAAGTCGGTCATTAATTTGATGTCACCGTTGTAAGTTTGTTGTTAGACTGATGTCACTGTTGTAAGTCTGTCGTTAGTCTAATGTCACTGTCGTAAGTCTGATGTTAGTCTGATGTCACTGTTGTAAGTCTGATGTTAGTCTGATGTCACTGTCGTTAGTCTGATGTTAGTCTGATGTCACTGTTGTAAGTCTGACGCTAGTCTAATGTCACTGTTGTTATTCTGACATTAATCTGATGTCACTGCCGTAAGTCTGACATTAGTTTGATGTCACTGTGGTAAGTCTGACATTAGTCTGATGTCACTGCTGTAAGTCTGATGTTAGTCTGATGTCACTGTTGTAAGTCTGACATTAGTCTGATGCCACTGTTGTAAGTCTGATGTTAGTCTGAAGTCACTATTGTTGGTCCCTTCATAGTATCAAAAAAGTCTATGATGTCGTTAGTCTGTGATGTTGTTGACGAAAGTCTAACATAACTGTCCTATCTGTGATGTCACTGTAGTATCTATGTGATGTCACTGTAGTATGTATATGATGTCACTGTAGTATCTATGTGATGTCACTCTCCTATCTGTGATGTCACTTTAGTACCTATGTGATGTCACTGTAGTATGCATGTGATGTCACTGTAGTATCTATGTGATGTCAATGTCATATCTATGTGATGTCACTGTAGTATCTATGTGATGTCCCTGTAGTATGTATGTGATGTCACTCTCCTGTCTGTGATGTCACTTTAGTATCTAGGTGATGTCACTGTAGTATGTATGTGATGTCACTGTCCTATCTATGTGATGTCACTGTAGTATGTATGTGATGTCACTCTCCTATCTGTGATGTCACTTTAGTATCTATGTGATGTCACTGTAGTATGTATGTGATGTCACTGTAGTATCTATGTGATGTCACTGTAGTATGTATGTGATGTCACTGTAGTATGTATGTAATGTCACTGTCCTATCTAAGTGATGTCACTGTCCTATCTATGTGATGTCACTGTAGTATCTATGGGATGTCACTGTCCTATTTTTGTGATGTCACTTTAGTATGTAGTGATGTCACTGTAGTATGTATGTGATGTCACTGTAGTATCTATGTTATGTCAATGTCATATCTATGTGATGTCACTGTAGTATCTATGTGATGTCACTGTCCTATTTTTGTGATGTCACTTTAGTATGTAGTGATGTCACTGTAGTATGTATGTGATGTCACTGTCCTATCTTTGCGATGTCACTGTAGTATCTAAGTGATGTCACTGTAGTATCCATGTGATGTCACTGTAGTATTATGTGATGTCACTGTAGTACTGTAGTATCTATGTTATGTCACTGTAGTATCTATGAGATGTCACTGTCCTATTTTTGTGATGTCACGTTAGTATGTAGTGATGTCACTGCAGTATCTATGTGATGTCACCGTCCTATTTTTGTGATGTCACTTTAGTAGTATGTGATGTCACTGTAGTGTATATGTGATGTCACTGTCCTATCTTTGCGATGTCACTGTAGTATCTATGTGATGTCACTGTAGTATCTATGTGATGTCAATGTCATATCTATGTGATGTCACTGTAGTATCTATGTGATGTCACTGTAGTATGTATGTGATGTCACTGTAGTATGTATGTGATGTCACTGTAGTATCTATGTGATGTCACTGTAGTATGTATGTGATGTCACTGTAGTATGTATGTGATGTCACTGTAGTATGTCTGTGATGTCACTGTAGTATGTATGTGATGTCACTGTAGTATGTATGTGATGTCACTGTAGTATCTATGTGATGTTACTGTAGTATGTATGTGATGTCACTGTAGTATGTATGTGATGTCACTGTAGTATGTATGTGATGTCACTGTAGTATGTATGTGATGTCACTGTAGTATGTATGTGATGTCACTGTAGTATGTATGTGATGTCACTGTAGTATGTATGTGATGTCACTGTAGTATGTATGTGATGTCACTGTAGTATGTATGTGATGTCACTGTAGTATGTATGTGATGTCACTGTAGTATGTATGTGATGTCACTGTAGTATGTATGTGATGTCACTGTAGTATGTATGTGATGTCACTGTAGTATGTATGTGATGTCACTGTAGTATGTATGTGATGTCACTGTAGTATGTATGTGATGTCACTGTAGTATGTATGTGATGTCACTGTAGTATGTATGTGATGTCACTGTAGTATGTATGTGATGTCACTGTAGTATGTATGTGATGTCACTGTAGTATGTATGTGATGTCACTGTAGTATGTATGTGATGTCACTGTAGTATGTATGTGATGTCACTGTAGTATGTATGTGATGTCACTGTAGTATGTATGTGATGTCACTGTAGTATGTATGTGATGTCACTGTAGTATGTATGTGATGTCACTGTAGTATGTATGTGATGTCACTGTAGTATGTATGTGATGTCACTGTAGTATGTATGTGATGTCACTGTAGTATGTATGTGATGTCACTGTAGTATGTATGTGATGTCACTGTAGAATGTATGTGATATCACAAAACTGTCACTAGTAGATAGTGCTTTACTAAATGCAGGATAAATCAGCCAGGGTATCAATAAATTTAGGAATGATAACAACATTGTGTTAGGCTGAACTGAAGTCAGGAATTATAAAATCAGGTTTTATACTCGGTTAACTAATGATAGTACGACATTGATGTCTTGATGTGGTTTATTTCAGCCCCGAAACACTGCACCCCTGGACAGTTTGAATGCCGGAATAAGAATTGTACTTATGGGTTCCGTGTTTGTGACCTGGTTGATGACTGTGGTGACATGTCGGATGAGGAAGCATGTGACGAGCGTCGCTGTGAGGCATGGCAGTACAAATGTGGCACCAACAAATGTATCCCACAGGGCTGGCAATGCGACGGATCTGATGACTGTGGCGACAACTCGGATGAAAATGATGATCAATGTAGTACGTATCAAATACAGGAACACTTGTTTAAAGTTGGACATAAGGTACCCAGAAATAAACACCGACTATCTGTCTTAAACAGTTACACAGAAATACACTCTACAACCTGTGTTTACTGACAAACTGTCTAAAACAGTTAAACAAAATACACTCTACAACCTGTGTTTACTGACAAACTGTCAAAAACAGTTACACAGAAATACACTGCAACCTGTGATTACTGAAAACCTGTCTAAAACAGTTTTACAGAAATACACTGTACAACCTGTGTTAACTGACTTCCTGTCTAAAACAGTTACACAGAAATACACTGTACAACCTGTGTTTACTGACAAACTGTCAAAAACAGTTACACAGAAATACACTGCAACCTGTGATTACTGAAAACCTGTCTAAAACAGTTTTACGGAAATACACTGTACAACCTGTGTTTACAGACAAACTGTCTTAAACAGTTACACAGAAATACACTGTACAACCTGTGTTTACTGACAACCTGTCTGAAATACACTCTACAACCTGTGTTTACTGACAAACTGTCAAAAACAGTTAAACAAAATACACTCTACAACCTGTGTTTACTGACAACCTGTCTAAAACAGTTACACAGAAATACACTGTACAACCTGTGTTTACTGACAAACTGTCAAAAACAGTTAAACAAAATACACTCTACAACCTGTGTTTACTGGCAAACTGTCTGAAACAGTTAAACAAAATACACTCTACAACCTGTGTTTACTGACAACCTGTCTAAAACACTTTTACAGAAATACACTGTACAGAACAGTTACACAAAAAATATAAACTACAACCTGTGTTTACTGACAACTTGCCAAAAATAGTTACACAGAAATACACTCTGCAACCTGTGATTACTGAAAACCTGTCTAAAACAGTTTTACAGAAATACACTGTACAACCTGTGTTTACAGACAAACTGTCTTAAACAGTTACACAGAAATACACTGTACAACCTGTGTTAACTGACTTCCTGTCTAAAACAGTTACACAGAAATACTCTCTGCATCCTGTGATTACTGAAAACCTGTCTAAAACGGTTTTACAGAAATACACTGTCCAACCTGTGTTTACAGACAAACTGTCTTAAACTGTTACACAGAAATACACTGCAACCTGTGATTACTGAACACCTGTCTAAAACAGTTTTGCAGAAATACACTGTACAACCTGAGTTTACTGACAACCTGTCTAAAGCACTTTTACAGAAATACACTGTACAGAACAGTTACACAAAAAATACATACTACAACCTGTGTTTACTGACACCTTGTCAAAAACAGTTACACAGAAATACACTCTGCAACCTGTGATTACTGAAAACCTGTCTAAAACAGTTTTACACAAATACACTGTACAACCTGTGTTTACTGACTTCCTGTCTAAAACAGTTACACAGAAATACACTGTACAACCTGTGTTTACTGACAACCTGTCTAAAACACTTTTACAGAAATACACTGTACAGAACAGTTACACAAAAAATATAAACTACAACCTGTGTTTACTGACAACCTGTCAAAAACAGTTATACAGAAATACACTCTGCAACCTGTGATTAATGAAAACCTGTCTAAAACAGTTTTACAGAAATACACTCTACAACCTGTGTTTACTGACAACCTGTCTAGAACAGTTACACAGAAAAATACACTGTACAACCTGTGATTACTGACTACCTGTCTAAATCTGTCATACATGATTACACTCTGCAACCTGTGATTACTGATGACCTGTGTGTCTAACACAGAAATATACTTTGCAACCATATGAATGCATTCCTGTGAAAACTTTGCAATTTTGTTGTAATAAAAGGTTTGAAAGTTTTGTATAACTTCTTATTAGTATTCCATGCATGAAAACATTATATATTTCTCTCGCAGAGAATGTGACCTGCGGATCTCACCAGTTCACGTGTGACAACGGCAAGTGTATCCCTAGCACCTGGAAGTGTGACTATGATGATGACTGTGGTGACAGGTCTGACGAAAAACAGGCCTGGAATTGTAGTAAGTCATTTCAGTGAGATAACACTGCACATAGATTCAAATATATGCACAGGAGTGAACCATTCCTTACGATCAAAATAATGATGAATAAAAATATTTTAATATAAATTTATTTTACAGCATAACTACATCAAAACTGTTGCTGGTATTTGAAGGTATATTGCCAAAAGCTGTTTTGTGAAGCCATTGACTATTTCTATGATTTAAAAAAAAAAATCATAGATTTTGATTGAAATTTATGAAGTTTCGGTTTTTGTTTAAATAGGAAATAATTCAAATGTTAAGAAACAAATGGAAAAAAATAATTTATTAATTTTATTTTGCCCTTTAGAGACACAACATATCCCAATCCACACTAGAGCATTTCTGATAAGGATAGCACAAAGTTAAAATATCGTAAATCATTGTTAATCTGACCTTGAACTGATGTATTAGTCAGTAGTTAAATCAAATATCATTGGTGTAAGGTCGGTTCTACAGTTTAGGTCAAAGATCATCAGTAAAGTTCATAGGCCAGGTCACATAATTAGTCAATTGGAGGGAGGGAAGTGAGATAAAGCTACTGTGGGCGAGGCTGCTGTCACTTTGTGTTTATTTACCTAGCAACACGACAGTGCCAGAAAGGCTGGTGGAAATGCAAGACAAACTACCGGTGCATCCCGGACTGGCAGAGGTGTGATGGACGTGACGATTGCCGTGATAACAGTGACGAAGATGAGGCTAACTGCCCCAAATGCCACCCAACTGGAGACTGGCAGTGTGCCAACAAGCGATGTATTCCTAAACGCTGGCTCTGTGACTTTGATGATGACTGTGATGATAAAAGTGATGAGGATCCTCTCATGTGTGGTAGGTAACTCTCCTGTATTGGAGGTAGTATATGGTGTGATAGGTAACTCTCCTGAGTTGGAGGTAGTATATGGTGAGGTAGGTACTGTACCTCTCCTGTGTTGGAGGTAGTATATGGTGTGGTAGGTACCTCTCCTGATTCGAATGTTGCATAGTTTGGTTAAGTTATAACTCTTCTGTATTGGAGATAGTATCTTGTGTGGTAAATTATTCTCCTGTGTTGGAGGTAGTATATGGTGTGATAGGTAACTCTCCTGTGTTGGAGGTCCCAGAATTTGTTTCGAAAAGTTCCAAGTCTATGATTATGTGTCCTATATTAGGAGGCACGGTAGTCTAGTGGTAGGACACAGAGCTCGTGACAGAAGGGTTGCGGGTTCCAGTCACGGCACGGCACCGTGTTGTATCTTTGAGCGAGATACTTTACTCCGCTTGTTCCAGTCTACTCAGCTGTAAATGAGTAAGTGGTCGGGAAGTGCTAGAATTGTAGAATGCTAACTGTGAGCGCCGAAACGGCTATGCTCTCCAAGCAGTTGAGAAAGATTTTGGCTAATTGCAAATGTCCTATAACCAAGGATAATAGTTTGTGAACCGCTTTGAGACGTCCTACAAACTAGGTTGTAATAAAGCGGTATATAAGAACCTCAAATTATTATTATTATTATTATTATATTTGTAGCTAAGAAGTACCGCAAGTGTTCCGAGTCTGAATACCTATGTAAGAACAAGAAGTGTATCCCAAGTAAGATGCGGTGTGACAATGACAACGACTGTGGTGACAACTCGGACGAAGATCCACACTATTGTAAAGGTACGGCACCAAATATCTCAGTAGGCTGCCTATAGTGGTAAGGACTGCCTTCACTACAGTAGGCTGCCTACAGTGGTGAGGACTGCCTTCACTACAGTAGGCTGACTATAGTGGTGAGGACTGCCTTCACTGCAGTCGACCACCAATAGTGGTGAAGACTGTCTTCACTACAGTAGGCCACCTATAGTGGTGAGGACTGCCTTCACTACAGTAGGCTGCCTACAGTGGTGAGGACTGCCTTCACTACAGTAGGCTGCCAATAGTGGTGAGGACTGCCTTCACTACAGTAGGCCACCAATAGTGGTGAGGACTGCCTTCACTACAGTAGGCTACCAATAGTGGTGAGGACTGCCTTCACTACAGTAGGCTGCCAATAGTGGTGAGGACTGCCTTCACTACAGTAGGCTGCCAATAGTGGTGAGGACTGCCTTCACTACAGTAGGCTGCCAATAGTGGTGAGGACTGCCTTCACTACAGTAGGCTGCCAATAGTGGTGAGGACTGCCTTCACTACAGTAGGCTGCCAATAGTGGTGAGGACTGCCTTCACTACAGTAGGCTGCCAATAGTGGTGAGGACTGCCTTCACTACAGTAGGCTGCCAATAGTGGTGAGGACTGCCTTCACTACAGTAGGCTGCCAATAGTGGTGAGGACTGCCTTCACTACAGTAGGCTGCCAATAGTGGTGAGGACTGCCTTCACTACAGTAGGCTGCCAATAGTGGTGAGGACTGCCTTCACTACAGTAGGCTGCCAATAGTGGTGAGGACTGCCTTCACTACAGTAGGCCACCAATAGTGGTGAGGACTGCCTTCACTACAGTAGGCCACCAATAGTGGTGAGGACTGCCTTCACTACAGTAGGCTACCAATAGTGGTGAGGACTGCCTTCACTACAGTAGGCTGCCAATAGTGGTGAGGACTGCCTTCACTACAGTAGGCTGCCAATAGTGGTGAGGACTGCCTTCACTACAGTAGGCTGCCAATAGTGGTGAGGACTGCCTTCACTACAGTAGGCTGCCAATAGTGGTGAGGACTGCCTTCACTACAGTAGGCTGCCAATAGTGGTGAGGACTGCCTTCACTACAGTAGGCTGCCAATAGTGGTGAGGACTGCCTTCACTACAGTAGGCTGCCAATAGTGGTGAGGACTGCCTTCACTACAGTAGGCTGCCAATAGTGGTGAGGACTGCCTTCACTACAGTAGGCTGCCAATAGTGGTGAGGACTGCCTTCACTACAGTAGGCTGCCAATAGTGGTGAGGACTGCCTTCACTACAGTAGGCTGCCAATAGTGGTGAGGACTGCCTTCACTACAGTAGGCTGCCAATAGTGGTGAGGACTGCCTTCACTACAGTAGGCCACCAATAGTGGTGAGGACTGCCTTCACTACAGTAGGCTACCAATAGTGGTGAGGACTGCCTTCACTACAGTAGGCTGCCAATAGTGGTGAGGACTGCCTTCACTACAGTAGGCTGCCAATAGTGGTGAGGACTGCCTTCACTACAGTAGGCTGCCAATAGTGGTGAGGACTGCCTTCACTACAGTAGGCTGCCAATAGTGGTGAGGACTGCCTTCACTACAGTAGGCTGCCAATAGTGGTGAGGACTGCCTTCACTACAGTAGGCTGCCAATAGTGGTGAGGACTGCCTTCACTACAGTAGGCTGCCAATAGTGGTGAGGACTGCCTTCACTACAGTAGGCTGCCAATAGTGGTGAGGACTGCCTTCACTACAGTAGGCTGCCAATAGTGGTGAGGACTGCCTTCACTACAGTAGGCTGCCAATAGTGGTGAGGACTGCCTTCACTACAGTAGGCTGCCAATAGTGGTGAGGACTGCCTTCACTACAGTAGGCTGCCAATAGTGGTGAGGACTGCCTTCACTACAGTAGGCCACCAATAGTGGTGAGGACTGCCTTCACTACAGTAGGCTACCAATAGTGGTGAGGACTGCCTTCACTACAGTAGGCTGCCAATAGTGGTGAGGACTGCCTTCACTACAGTAGGCTGCCAATAGTGGTGAGGACTGCCTTCACTACAGTAGGCTGCCAATAGTGGTGAGGACTGCCTTCACTACAGTAGGCTGCCAATAGTGGTGAGGACTGCCTTCACTACAGTAGGCTGCCAATAGTGGTGAGGACTGCCTTCACTACAGTAGGCTGCCAATAGTGGTGAGGACTGCCTTCACTACAGTAGGCTGCCAATAGTGGTGAGGACTGCCTTCACTACAGTAGGCTGCCAATAGTGGTGAGGACTGCCTTCACTACAGTAGGCTGCCAATAGTGGTGAGGACTGCCTTCACTACAGTAGGCTGCCAATAGTGGTGAGGACTGCCTTCACTACAGTAGGCTGCCAATAGTGGTGAGGACTGCCTTCACTACAGTAGGCTGCCAATAGTGGTGAGGACTGCCTTCACTACAGTAGGCCGCCAATAGTGGTGAGGACTGCCTTCACTACAGTAGGCCGCCAATAGTGGTGAGGACTGCCTTCACTACAGTAGGCCACCAATAGTGGTGAGGACTGCCTTCACTACAGTAGGCCACCAATAGTGGTGAGGACTGCCTTCACTACAGTAGGCCACCAATAGTGGTGAGGACTGCCTTCACTACAGTAGGCCACCAATAGTGGTGAGGACTGCCTTCACTACAGTAGGCCACCAATAGTGGTGAGGACTGCCTTCACTACAGTAGGCCACCAATAGTGGTGAGGACTGCCTTCACTACAGTAGGCCACCAATAGTGGTGAGGACTACCTTCACTAAAGTAGGCCACCAATAGTGGTGAGGACTGCCTTCACTTCAGTAGGCTGCCTATAGTGGTTAGGACTGCCTTCACTACAGTAGGCCACCATTAGTGGTGAAGACTGCCTTCACTACAGTAGGCTGCCTACAGTGGTGAGGACTACCTTCACTACAGTAGGCCGCCAATATTGGTGAGGACTACCTTCACTACAGTAGGCTGCCTATAGTGGTGAGGACTGCCTTCACTACAGTAGGCCACCTATAGTGGTGAGGACTGCCTTCACTACAGTAGGCCACCAATAGTGGTGAGGACTGCCTTCATTACAGTAGGCTGCCTTTAGTGATGAGGACTGCCTTCACTACAGCTTTGACCTCTCTTAGTAAAAAAGAATAAACTCCTCTTCTCTAATTTGTCTCAGTTAAACACAATTTTCTTACCTTAAGCTGTTGACTTTGACTTATCTAAGTTAAACTGAATTGCATTCCTGTGTTGCCTTAAGCTGTTCACTCTGACTTATCTAAGTTATACTGAGTTACCTCCCCTGTTTTGCCTTAAGCTGTTCACTCTGACTTATCTAAGTTATACTGAATTACCTCCCCTGTTTTGCCTTAAGCTGTTCACTCTGACTTTCTAAGTTGTACTGAATAACCTCCCCTGTGCTGCCGGAAGCTTTTTACACTGACTTATCTAAGCTATAGTGATTTACCTCCCCTGTGTTGCCTTAAACTGTTCACTTTGACTTATCTAAGTTATACTGAATTACCTCCCCTGTATTGCCTTAAGCTGTTCACTCTGACTTATCTAAGTTATACTGAGTTTCCTCCCCTGTGTTGCCTTAAACTGTTCACTTTGACTTATCTAAGTTACACTGAATTACCTCCCCTGTGTTGCCTTAAACTGTTCACTTTGACTTATCTAAGTTATACTGAATTACCTCCCCTGTTTTGCCTTAAGCTGTTCACTCTGACTTTCTAAGTTGTACTGAATTACCTCCCCAGTGTCGCCTTAAGCTGTTTACACTGACTTATCTAAGTTATACTAAATTACCTCCCCTGTTTTATCTTACAGAGTACCACAAGTGCCAGACTGACCAGGTTCAGTGCCCGAGTGGTCACTGTATCAGTAACAAGTCTGTATGTGATGGTCAGCGAGATTGTAAAGACGCCTGGGACGAGCAATCCTGTCCACCCCGTTACCCTGGCAACCGTTTCTGTCCCACCAATCAGTTCCAGTGTGACAACACGGTACCCACATACTATATTTAATTAAGATACATTAGTTAGTAGTCCTATATATAATAGATGTTATCTTTTTTTCATCGTTTATGATATAAAATTTTCATCTTATTGAATAGAGACTACCTTAGGGTGAAGAAACCCATACCCCACAACCCTATATAATGATAGACTCATTTTATTTTCACCTCTTAAACAATAATTATGTTGGTAATACAGGAAAAAGACAATGTAGAAGCAACACCAAATACAGCGAATTTTCCAGACAATTCTTATTTTCTGGATGTGATGTCACTTGCCACACTCAGTCAAATGATGGTTTGACGTGTTTTGAATTGTGACGTCATAATAAAACACCGTCAAACTACAAACTCTTAACGGGTGTTCCCCATAGGACATATGTATCTTTCATACACAAAAGTGGGTGATAAAACATGTCAAGTTCTAAAACAATTCTGTCACCATTGTTGACCATTCAGCTACAGTAACAAGAGTGCAAGATAGCTGGTTTATCGTACCAAGTTAGACCATTCAACGGAATAATGTGTGGCTAGATAGAAAGACAGTTTGATTAGTGTTGACTGGATAGTGGGACAGTTTGATTAGTGTTGACTGGATAGTGGGACAGTTTGATAAGTGGTGACTGGATAGTAGGACAGTTTGATTAGTGGTGACTGGATAGTAGGACAGTTTGAT